AGTGCCATTGTGGTGTTGTTGTTGGACTGGATTCGGTACAGCCTTTAGTTCGCCATTCTGAAGTGCGCGCTCCTTGAGAGCCTGCACGTTCTTCGCAGGCGCAACCGCAGGAAATTTGGGCTCAGCGGATGAGGCGCGCGGAGTGAGGTCGTTGTCGGTGTTTGTGTTGGGCTGCTTTGCGTTGTCGAGAGGGATGGTGAGTTTGCTCATTACAGATCGGGCGTATATGGAGTGGGAGCTGAGGCGGCGGTTGGTAGTCGAGGTGTTTGAGGAAGCTGAGGATCGGCGGCGATGCGGATGTTGCTTGCGATGTACGAGCTCGGTCACCATCGGCGTCGGGACTGCTTCCATGTTCGGCGTCATGCCAAGATGTCGAAATACTTATGTCAAGCTAGCCTGGCCGCTGCGCTAAGATAGCACCCAGGGCGCTGGATGCGAGTCGCGGCTGCCGGTGCAAGACTGAGTTGCGTTGAGGAGATGTTCCAAAAAGTTGTGTGGAAGAAGGGTCTCTGTTGAAATGTCGGGTGGATTTGCAGAGGAAGGCTGATCGGGCCGTTGACCTTATCAAGGGCTGGCTCGATATGACTGTTCGGAGTCGGCCTTTGGTTGAGGGAACCACGGGTACGCCGCTTGAACTAGCCCGTTGGTGGAGGACGAATTTTCAGGAACGCGCGCAAACGCGTTGAGGAATGCATCATCGGCAGTTTATATCTCGCAGCCTGGTCGGTGAAACTGCGATGCAATAAGGCGCGATTTGTCTGCGCGTCCCTCGCCATGTTACACGCCGCTTGGCAGGTGCACCTGTTCCTGCTCGAAGCGGACAAACCCCACAGTCCGACTCCGATAACCAATCAATCCACCACGCCTCCCAATGCAGCTCGCGACGATGAAGAGAGCACACCTTTACCGTGATCTGTACCCAGGTACAGGCCGAGTTAAGAACCAAAGTAGCCCTGAATCAAGCCATGGTTCCATTGTCGTGTGATGCTCCATTACTTTCAAGGTGTCTCGCACTCGTCCGATGTCGACCAGTTCGTGGGTGGACCCAACAACGTCAGCGTGCAGCCACCAACTCCACTGTTGTACTGTATAGGCCAAAGTCCTTGGCACGCATATACAGTACACACGCGACATGTATTTCCCCAGATTCCGAGAAGCCTTCCAGACGCGCCTTCCGTATCGTGGGGATCCTGAACCACCTGCAATATGCTTGGAGCGATACCACGCTAGCCTTGTCATCCGTGATGAAATTATTTGTCGAAAAGCAAAAGGTGACTGTCACGTCCGAGGAGCAAAGTCAGGAAGTGACTATGTCGTAAGCTTCAGCGTCAGGACCAGCAGACAGATGTACGCTGAGACGCTCAAGGCTGTCAACACAGACACCACATTGCCGGATGTCCGGAACTTCTTCCTGTGCAGGCCATCCTCACCGACTTCCGAGAAGAACTGTTTGTTTCCTATTCGCTGTCAGCACCCGCATTCTCGTCGTCATACATCCGCATGATCGTTCCCAACTGACCTTGTTGTCGCCGGAACAAACTGATGAACAAGATGCCAGCACCGTAGACAGCGAACAGCGCACCGATCGAGTAGAACTCGGCGGTGAAGATCTTTAGCACGACAAGCGCAAAAGAAAACTGGCCGATTGCTGTACGGACGTAGGCGCCTTCGAATGTTCGCTGTGCTGCGCGGATTTCAACCAGCTCAGGACCAGTCAAGATGACTGAGCGTGCGCGATGTAGATGGAGACGATATCTGTCTGCTGCGTGACGGCCCTGGACGTTGTGAGCGGTAGACACTTCTGGGTGAAACATGCAAAGGTCCTACCTCGAACATGGTGACTGTTGCAGGTTCACCAAAGATGCAGAAGGATGGCAGTTAGTGGTGATGTTGCTATCCCGGTACTACCTCGGGACACAATCGGGTACGCGATGGATAGCTAGAGGAGACGGGTGACGTAGTGGGGTAGGGAGTATCCCGAGGTTCAAACGACAACGCGTCGAGCAACCTGCCAGTACGTGTTTTCACTTCCGCGACGTGTATAATCAAGTCGCACGATAATAAAAGTCAGACTTTGTGAAGATGTCTCGTTCTCGCGAAATGTCCAACGCGGTTAGTCCCACACAAACGCGTTAGCGCGCCTTCCCAAGATGAAGCTCGACTGACGCTGCTGCAGGGTCCAAGCACCTCCGAAGTTGTTCCTCCGTAACCGTCCCCGCAACCACAAACAATGTTGCGAAAAGGCCAATACGATATATAACCTCGCGACGACACCGAATCCAGGTAGAATCGCCACTTTATTCCAACGAGTAAGCGCTGCATGCGACTTGGCGTCTGGCGAAACTTCACGCAGCGCGTCATATTCCCTTCTTCTAGGACCAGCGCACGGTATGTTCGTATTACGAGTGCTCGACAACGCGACTCGTCATCACCTTGTAACTTTGGTCTCCAATTGACGCAATTAGGCACTCGAACAACCGCCAAACCCGCTTTACAAGCCCATTGTCTCGATCGCACGTAACGTTTGTACGCCCATTTCCGCCCTGGGACGACTACCCTGACACTCGTATCAACGAAGAGGGAAGAATGGGGAAGTGGAACTACTACGGAGTAAAGGTCGGGCGCAAACCGGGCATCTATACGGATTGGCCGAACACAGAGGCCCAAGTCAAGGGCTACAGTGGTGGACTACAACAGGGCTTCAAGACCCGAACGGAGGCTGAGGAATACGTCTACGGCCCCAATGGACGTTCTAGTGCACCCATAAGCCTACGAGGAGATCTTTCTGCATCTGGGTCTCCGTCGGCGACAGGCAATCTGGACAGGAGTAGAGAGATATCAGAGAGTGCGCCAAAGCGACAAAAGAAGGAGAACGCACCACCGGCGTTGATTCCAGATCATCAGGAAGTCAAGGTCGAGCCCGGGTACGGCCCCCTCCCGCCAGACGCAGTAGACGGCTTCGATCCGAATATCAAGCTCGACGAGCTAACGGGCAAGATCAGAGAGAAGACGCAGGAGGAACTTGGCAAAAGGAAGAGACAGCCGGCCGGAGACACCAAAAGCCCCGTTGTGGTATACACTGACGGCGGTTCGCGGGGCAATGGCAATGCTGGCGCCAAAGCCGGATGTGGTGTCTACTTCGGCCCACAAGATCCCAGGTTCGTGTGGTGCCCAGCAGGTTCTGTATGAGAGACATTCCACTAACACCACTACAGGAACGTTAAAGAACCTCTAAGGGGTGATCTCCAGACCAACAATCGAGCCGAATTAGTCGCAATATCTCGCGCAATCGACCACGTTCCCATCGACCGCGACATGGAGATCATCAGCGACTCCAGATATTCTCGCGACTGCCTCACACAATGGGTCCCAGGTTGGGAGAAAAAGGGCTGGAAGAATTCTCACGGCAAAGATGTCATGAACAAGGAAATCATACAACCCATCCTAGCGAGAATACGAGAACGGGAAAAGGCCGGCGCCAAGACCAAGATCACCTGGGTCAAGGCCCACGACGTCAATCCAGGCAACATCGCAGCCGACAATTTTGCAAACCAGGCCATGGACAATTGGACTGTCGATCTCGCGTCCGGGAACACATTTGACATGTCAGAAACCTTGCGGACGAAGTACAGGAATCCCAACGATCCGCCATCACCAAAGCAAGAGTATGATGTGGAGGAAATGGAGGGTTATCTGCGCCAGCTTGCAGATGAGGACCTGAATGGACTCAATGACTATCCTTCGGCTGAAGCCGTTGATCAGTCTTCGATTGACGTCGAACAAGCCGCTACTGCTTCGGCACAGGACGTCGACGACGTGTTTGCGGATCACCCAGCATTTGCATCGAAGACAAATGGAGAGGAGAAGAACGAGACGGGGCGGGAAGTGGCATACTAGATACCCGCCAGCCGCTGAATAGGCGGTATGCGATTGGGCTGGAACTAAATCGGTCAACCATGGTACGTGTACGAGAAATGAATCTACTTGACGAGGATACTTTTTCAACATCCTTCAAAGCACTGCCACTTCCAACATCTTCCACATATACAATTTTCATATTACCCAACTTCACACGGTCTATCATCCACCATCCACCGACCATTCCACCAGAACACAACGCAATGCCTCACGAACCCAGTGCCCTTGTTCAAACACCGCCCTCACGCCTTACCACACTTACATCACACCTCTCCACCTTCCTCTCCGAAGCAGCATACTACTTCTCCTGGTACATCATCATCGCCATCGTATTGAGTATGCTCCTCACCAGCATCGTCGAAGTTATCTATTTCATCCGCTACTGCGATCTTGTAGTCCAAGCCTTCCTTTGGAGAGCGCTCTCGGCGTCCCTTCTGACGCTGCTCCTCGAGAAGTTCGGTGTGGGTCAAGCGGTACAGTTGTTGGTGGTGGCGGTTGTGGCGTCGGGCGTAGTCGTGGCGGTGGGGGCGGCCTTGGGCGTGGTCGTGGCGGTGGTTGTAGAGGGGCTTCTTTGGTAGGAGGGGAATGGAGGGTTTTGGTGGTGAGGAGCTGGGTTTGGAGGTTTGGGGTGAGTGTGTCGATGCGGTTTGCTATCGTTTTGGGGGCGTTGGGGGGGAAATCGATGTGGGTGGTTTGAGTGGGTCGGTTTACGCGGGTCCTGAGGCAGGTAAGAGCTCGCTTTCCATGTTCTAACGTCCGTACACTACAGCGATGGCACAGGCGTGCGGATGTTCGGGCTAAGCACTCCAAGCATTACACGCCAAGTCCGGAAGACGGCACTGACGTGCGAATGGGAACAAACATACTCCCCGGATCCCATTCCGATTCATTCGCCACAGACTAGTCATGTGTGCCTGCACTCGGAAGAAACGGCTGCTAACCCAAATCAGGCCACCCACCATCATCATCATCGTCTGTTATAACAACCAGCCCACACCCCGCTCTATCCACCTCTCAACTTGAGTCTCACGTTCAAACGCACCATCAATTCCCTCAGTCTTTGTCATCCCTTCCATTAATTAATGAGGTATTCAGTCATCGCATACGTCTTTTGTATCGTGGGACTCACTCCCAGTAAAACAATATACGACCACCTATATCTCCTCTTCACCGGCTACGCTTTCCACATCTACTCCGTCCACACCACCCAACACCGCCGTTTAAGCATGCCCGACAACTTCGACCAATCGCAAGCCCTTCTATCCCAATCCGATTCCCAGACCAACTCCGGCAATAGCAGCATGTCCACCACCAACGACATCAAACAACACCGCCGCTACTCGCGTTGGTGCCGCGTGCTCCTTGTCACGCAAGTCGTGCTGCAGAGTGTGTATCTGGGCTCGAACTACTGGACAAACGGGCATCTGACGGTTTTGCAAATGACGACCGCGGGGTTGTATGTATTGGGTGCGGCGCTTATGGAGATTGATTTGAGGAGGAAGGAGAGGGAGTTTTGGGATATGGTGGAGAAGGGGGGGAGGAAGGATGTCGAGAAGGGGAGGCTGGCTTGGGAGGAGGGGGCTGATGAGAAGACGGGGTTTTTGAGCGAGAAGGCGGGAGGGGGAGAGGAGGGATACATGGGCCGGGGTGATGGTGAAGAGAAGGTGGAAGTAAGGGCGGAAGAGATGAAGGAGGACGATGAGATGTAAGCTGCGACTATACACCTCTTCCAACGAGGGATACAAGACGCCTTCTTCGTACAACCTGACATTGTCTTAGTTTGAAGTTTCCTTATCATAATGTTGGCCTACTTCTGTTCATTATCCCTCTTCTGATCCGCTAGAAGCTAGTGGCACCTTGTTCATAACCAGAGTCCGTTATTGCTGCATACTGTACACAAAGGTGTTTGGGAAATACATATGCATCGCGTTTTCTACCCAGTGTAGACTAGCACATTCAACAAACAATGACCACAAGGCGTTGTCAGTGCATCAAAGCGTCTTACACTACAGCGACAAGGCGCGTAGGTGCACACTAATTGCGCAATTTGCTTAGAGTTTAGCAAACATATATTTACAAATAAAAGAAAGGCTTACAAGCTCAGCGCTATGACATTCCTCTACCTGAGCGGCATATTATTTGGCCTCGTCCCCAAAGCTTCATACTCTCAACCTGCACACACACTCGGCAACGTTCTACCCCAACACCCGCCACCCCTAAGCCCGAAATGTGCCATGCGTTCAAAAGCATCCTCTCAACAGTCTTCTGGTACATCATTGTCGGTATCGGAGTCATAGCCTTGATCTACACGCTTGTGGCCGTCCTTGCTCTTTGCGCATATGCATGCACAGTCAAAGGCGGCGTATGTATAATTCTTTTCCTTGTCTTCACGGTTGCTTGCACGATATTTGGTGTAGCGTTCTTCTTGTTCTTGTGTGGCATAGATGTATTTGGGATTGATGAGGCTGTGCCGTGGGTGGATTGAGGTGGTTCCCAAGGTTGGCAGGAGGTGGACTTTTGGTAGCGAAACCACGTGGAAGTCAACTGCGCCCTGCGCGAAAATGAGAAAGATTTATTACCCATGGTTAGTATGACGAGTAACATGGTTGCAGACTGCGATTTTCAGGCTCCTCTTTAGGTAGGATCTTTATAGCCGTCTCCCACTGCTCAAGCAGCATCTCCTCTTCTCATCATACATCCGCACCCTTCACATCACCTTTCCACACAAAAGGCATTTCAAGATGATGTCTCCAGCAGCAAAACTCGTGCTCCTTTCCACACTGGCAGGTGGTATCGTCGCGACTTCCTCTTCAACGGCGACTGCTCTCGGCACTCATGGACTTGCGTCCGACTCGACCTCAATTCCAACGATTTCCACATCGACCTCCACCTACAAGATACCATTCAAAACTGGTCACGGCCCGGTCTTGGTTTCAACTTCAGTCCCTGCATTAACACTGCAAAACCCCAGACTCACCACACCAACGGTTATATCTTCACCAACAAATGAACCAGCGTCATAGTGCGTGAACCCCTTATCATGCTAAAACCTCCCCTAAATTCATCGCTAACAGTCACAGTCACAACATCTGGTCCGACAACGAGCACCAGCCCGAACGCGCATTCTCCCGTCACATCCCCGGCGAAATCAGATCAAAAGAAAGTGACATTGAAGGCATCACCATCGACACCACGTACGGTACCGACTGTCATGGAGACGACTTCGATACTTACATCTACTTCACCATCGTATACACCAACGGCACACTAGCCTACGACCCGCGCGGCCGACCCGGTCTCTTCTCCTTCTCAACCCCATGGTACCTCTCATACCCAAAAACGCTGCGCAAAGCCATCTTCAACGATCCGACCCCGTATCGCTCCAAACAAAAATCCGAGGACTGTAAGCATGGTCACTGCTTCAGTGAGGTCTTACCGGGGCTACTGTATAACGACGAGCCCGTCAGATTGAAGCGTGTCAAGAATCCGAAGACGCTGAGACCGTTCACTTCCGATCGGGACTACTTTGCGCTTGGAGAGTGTCACTATGACGATAGTCTACTCGATATCTGGAGGATGAGTGTGTATCTCGGTAGAATTGGATACTATATCCATGGGGCTAACATTCCACCTGCTGTTATCGACTATGTGGAGGAAAGAGTACGAACGACATATCCGACGTTGGAAATCTGCCTGGTTGTCTGGGGGACACTTGGTGCTATTCCGACTCTCATATTCGTCATCGCTCTCTTGGTCTGGTTAGTGAAGTTAACAATTTGGCTACAATATGATGGGCCAAAAAGGATGTGGGCTGCTGCTCAACGTAGCCGTGAGGCTATGTGGAAAGCTATCATTTTGGCGCCGGGTAAGGGATGGGATGCGGTGAAGGGACGTTGGAAGAGAGGGTTCAGGCGCCAGAGGAGTGTAGTCGCGCCACCAAATACGGTGCAGTCAACGGCGGATGAGCAGCTGCCGACTTACGAACTTCCCGAGTGGACACCTTCGGAACTTGCAAGGCCGCCGAGTTATCGTACGTATGATGGTGGTTGCGAGGGGTTTAATGCTGTCTGAGAGGTCTGGAGAAATGGGAAAATTAGAGATGGGTATGGTGAATTGGAGAGAGATATACTGGACAGCATAAGAACGTACATGAATTGAGATCTTTGCCCCATTTTCTGCACCATGCCGTACACAACTCACCACACCACACCCTCCACGCACGCCCATCAACCCTCCACCTCCCCCAAAATCCTAACCTTAATCCCCTCACTCCCTAAATCCGGCATCCCCAAAAAACAATCATTACTCGTCAACACATCCCTCCCCTCAACCGTATCAAACACCTCCATCCTAAACCTCCGCCAAATCATCGCAAGCCCCGTATACAATTCCGACGTAGCAAGATTCATGCCTAGGCAGTTACGGCTTCCGCGCCCGAAAGCAAAAAGATAGCGCGTGAGTTTGGGGTTCTCGAGCCACCGCTCTGGGCGGAAGGCGAAGGGGTCGGGGTAGATGGCAGGGTCGGTGTGGAGGAGGTAGGAGGATTGCATGATGGGGGTGCCGCGGGGGAGGGTGTACTGCTTGTATTGGAGGGATTCGCCGGTGGGGATACGGGGTTGGCGGGAGGAGACGCCGTGGGCGGTGCGGAGGCCTTCGTTTATTACTGCGGTCTGAGATGTTGGTTAGCATCGTTTGGTTTCTAGCATGGAGTATACGACTTACCAGGTATGGCAGGGCCTCTAATTGAGGTAGCGAGACTTCGTGATCTACCGTTGGCATCACGGTCTTCAGCTCCTGTCTTAATTTCTCTCCAACTTCTGAGTTCTTGATCAAGTAGTAAGTAGTGACCGCAAGTGTCCTTGCCGTCGTCTCCGTCCCCGCACCAAGGATAACACTAGCATCCGCCGTCAACCGCTTAGGATGTTTCTCTTTCTCCGGAAGTTTACAACCAACATCATCCCGTATGTCATGAAAAATCGTGCGTCTCAGGTTCTTCGTATCGCCATCGCCGTCCTCAAAATTCATAATGCGTTCGATTCTGCCTAGCGTCCTGAGACTGAAGGTGTTCACTGTGGCTACCCCGGGGCTTAGTTTTTCGACAACTTTTGGCGGAAGATCGAGCATAAAGTTCATGATAGTAGGGAATTGGCGCGCAAATGGCTCGATTTGAATCCCGTCGTGCATGACCTTGAGCCAGATCTTAGCGTAATCGTCGTGGTCTAAAGCTTTGATCGACTCGCCGAAACAGTACTCGGAAATGGTGTCCATGGTGAAAGCGGCGTATGCGTCGTTGAGATTTACTACACCGGCTTTGGGGCCTTCCTTCTCAAGTTCGCCGGCGAAACGATTCATAAGCTTTGTGGTGTTGTTTACAACGAGCTCTTCGAGAGCTTGGACCGAGCGCTTGCTGAAGAAAGGCGCTAGGGCGTTTCGTCGCATCTTGTGCAAGTCATGGTCTATGGTGTCTAGTATTGCGCCTTCCCAGGACTTTGCACCGGTGTGAAACGACCAACTACAGCGATCTCGCTTGTGATTCATGCCGGATGCGTAGATCGTGTCGAAATAGTCTACATCGTGGATATGGACTTGAAGAGGATTGATACGTATGATGGGCCCTGTTGCTGCGGTCAGAGCCGTAAGGCAGACAAAAGTGTTCATGGCGCACCGTATTCTTCGTGTAGCTGCTTGATCTTCCACAAGTACTGGAATTTGTGCGGATAGATCTCATAGTAGAATTCGTACCAAAACGTGAATGCTGCCAACTACACAGCGTTAGTCGTCATCTAAAGTCCCTCATAGCACACGTTGTCTTCCAGGTCGTACCTTTGGCCCGGGAATGTTTGCTAGAGGATGGAAATACGCCCTGTACACGCCGACGGCGAGCCAGTACAGGATCCATATTCCAATCAGAGACGCAGCGAGCTCTTTCGATGCGCTACTACGTATCGAATCCCAGAGGCGGTCCATGATAAGTGCGGTGGTGGATGCGAGGGGATCGCATCTTCCGCGTGAGGGGCCTCGGCAAGCTATATGTGCACACGCTAGAGACTTCGCGCATGTAACGTGAGACAGTATCATAAGCTTTTGAGTAACTCGCCAATAATAGTGTCAGCATATTCAGCAGGGCGGGATATGCAAGTGCGCCAAGAATCTGCACACCACTAGCGCTTACCACAACGCTGATACGTCATGCATGCTACACAATCCCATTATGCGAGCCGCTCCACCGGGGATGACCAAAAGAGACCGGCGCGCCAGGATCCTATTGTGCGCTGGTATTGTGTTCTTTTCCTACGCTACATTCCTCCAACACTTACGCATCTCACCTAAAGTCTGGATGTCGATCATTCAATGGAATTGCCTTCGATATTCTACTCTGCAAGCTCCAGATGTTGCGGGACTCTACACACACTGAGAAGGACTTTGGTTTCAGAAATTGATTTGTTCGCGGCTGCTTCCCACACCAGTGGCATCATCCTCTTCTCCTTGGTGTTCGGCACAGCCCAGGCTAGAGAGCTAGTCCACGTGAAGCCTGGGCGAAGAACGATGTATGCACTGGCTCTAGAAGAGCTCTGATCGCTGATGGCGTATGGGGATGCGTTGAGGGTGGCTTGCGAAGTATCAAGGCTTGTAGCCTTAGGCATGGTATGTCAGTAAATGTCCCGGTGGAAAGGCACGATTTAGAACACTTACGAAGAACACGACTTTTTGGATACAGCTCTCGTCGCTGAGGGATACGTAAAATTCATACCTGGCGCCGCCTAGTATCCCAGACAATCTACTTGCGCTGCCCATCTTAACGTGGACCGTGAACTGGGTATCTGGAAACATCCGTGGTGCAGTGACATCATGGGCAACAGTATCCGGGTTGCAACAGGTTCGATAAAACCCTAGAACTCGACCTGGAGCTCGACTTCCAGCTTGGGCGAAACCACTTATCAGAGCGATCCTTTCCTCAACCATCTGAGCAGTTGGGCGCCGAAGAGCTTGTTTCTCCATCATCCACCGTATCATGCCAAGGAATTGGGTGTCGGGTACTGTGTATTCCAGCCGAGCTCCAGTGTGGAACCAAGCAATGACATTGGCAATGTTTGACTGATAGGATCGGTCGTTCGAATTTCGGAGATCATTGGTGAGTTCGAGAGTATGCCCACAGCACAAGGTCATTATCTCGAGAAAGATGCAGCCCATGGAGAAGATGTCGGCTGCACGTCCGTTGGGCTCGAAGTTAGCGACTTCTGGCGCAAAATACTTTAGCGTTCCGCGTTCCCCTTCGTCTGTAACGCTTGAAGTCAGTACGGAGAAGTCTGTCGCCGTTCCGAAGTCCGCAAGCCATAATCCATCCCTAGAAAGCAAGATATTGGATGGCTTCAGATCTTTGTGCTTGATGTTGGACACATGAAGGTATGCGACGGCACTGGCTATGCAACCGATCGTTCGTTTCAAAACGGCTACCGCAGAGTTGCGGATCAAGGACATGGAATCATAGAAAGCCACTCCTAGGGCTTCCAATCTTGCTTGCCGGTCATCCACATGATCCATCCAGTCTTCTGGAAGCTCCACTGGAAGTCCACGTTCGACCAAGACCCTTTTTTGTAGCCAGTCCACATCCTCAATAAGAGTCGCAAGATCGCATATCGCGACAGGCCATAGTAGCAACCCCAGGAATGAACCGTGGGTATAGGTGCCCACTAGCCGGATGACATGGCGATGCGAGAGCTTCTTGATGATTTCGATCTCGCGTCTTTCTCTTTCACCTATCTTCCGACGGCAGTATTTGCGCTTCCAGGCAAGCTTAACATCGTTACAGTCTGTTTCATATACCCCACCGTGCATTCCATGACCGAGGAATTTGCCCTGTGTGAGAGGAAGTATCTCTGACTTGTCGTAATCAACGTGAGACGTGCCGCGGCCAGACCAGTCCAGTGGTACGCCATCGATGTATTCGCAGGGTGGCTGTTCAGTGAGCATTGATGTGCTGGACAACGATGAAAGAAGGTGGCCTGACTGATCCGAGTTGGACATGTGTTGGGTCATACGGGCCGTATGGGATTCGAGCGGGAGTGGAAAGTGGGATGTCGTGGTAGACGTTGTCGGGTTTTAAGTATCCTTCTCCTGATTGCGGGGTTCTCTAAGCCACAACATGCAGGCCGGGGTCAGCGATACCCAACCAACCATTTGTCTCATCTGCCTCATCTACATCAGCTATATGCATTGCCAAAAGACTTCACTTGGCGCGTAAGTGGATCTGGCGACAAAAAAGGTGAGACAAAAAGGATTTAACAGCTGAAACTGAGGATTGAACTCAGGATCTTCGCATATCGTACGACATACGAGTGCGACGCCTTACCACTTGGCCATTCCAGCCGAGTTATTACCGAGAGTACATTAATAGACCATATGAAGTCTCATTGAGGGCGAGGAGAAGGATTCAGCGCCAGTGTGACCGATGTTTGCATCGAGTGAAGGTACAGAACGCTTTAGGGACAGCGAATGAGGTCGCTCTTTCCGGTGAAATTCACCTACTTGCGGATACTCGCCTTGTCCACGTTACTGATCAATGCGTCCCTCCACTCTTGATCCTTGAGTATGCTCCGCACCCTAGCTTCCAACCATTCGGTGTTTCCCCAGAAGCCCCAGCTGGCCTGAAAGCGGAGCCAGTCTACGAGCGCTGTCTCCCAGTGTCGTACGAAGATCGACCAGTTGTACTCTTGTTTGCCAGTCTCTCTCAGCCTTTCCCAGTATCGTTGCAACAGCTGCTTCTCGCCTTCTTGCATGGATAGCTCCCGCGGGATATGCGAGTCGGCAACGAGCATGCTTAGCGGGACGGAGCATGTGAAGAACTTGGCGAGATCACAGACTCCCAGGCCAAGACCAGTGTACTGGAAGTCGTAGAATGCGACCTCCTCACCCGACTTGCTGGTGAACATGTTTTCAGACTTGACATCACCATGGATGAGGGTTTGATATGCTTCGATTGGTGATCGGCCGGTAGCCTTCGGTGAGAGGAACGCTGCCGCTATCTCGGAGATGGATAGGTCTTCGCCATCGACCCAGTCCGTGAGTGGCTCATTCCACTCGGCGTCGTAATCCTTCGCCAGGGTATTGTACTCCTTGCGACGCGTCGCAAGATACGTGTATCCGCCATTGAGCCACACCGATTTGTTCGACGAGGCCTGCCCATAACGTTGTACTTCCTCGAGCGGTGGTAGGACCAGAGACGCAGCGTCTAGAGACTTGACGCGAGTCCACCAGAAGCCATGAAAACCAGAGAGCCAATCCAGCGCGGCATAAGCCTGGGTCGTTGTCAACACGTCGCGCTTCTCTCCAGCCACAGGATATTGTTGTTTCAAATCGCTCAATAACATCGCAGTCATCGAGGTGCCATCCATGTTGTGCTTGTTGATGCTAGCGACGCATTCGGCGACCGGTAAGGTTGCTGGCATTTGAGGAGCGAGATGGCTATAGAAGTATTGTTCAATCTGATAGCTCAAGATCTTTCTGGTATGGCCTTCGTCGCTGGCCTTCGTCGGTGGGGGGTTTACAAGCTTGAGCACGTAGGATTTCGTCGAATCGGGCGAGCCTATCGGATTAGCGAACACGCGACATATCTCGCCGTAGCCTGCCCATAACGACTGGATGATTTGAAGAGATTGAAGTTCTAGTCCCTTCTCGGAAAGAAGGGCAGACGCTACTTCGTCTGGTGATACTCGTGCAGGCATCGAATCTGCTGGGTGCCGTAGACGGGCGTATAGAAGCGGCAGTAGGAGGATTGAGATACAAGGGACGAAGAAGCAGGCGAAAATGAGCTGTGACCGCGTGATCATTCGAGCAGCGAAGAAATGAAGGTGGCAATTGTGTAGTCTAGGTCCATCGTCAAGGAGTTGGCGTTGGTGACCACCTAGGCATGCTGTTGTTGCAGAAGTACGCCGAGGGGTTGAATGACGCGACGCGTCATGCTAGTCATGTGTGGCTGACATAAGCGAGCATCCTGAATCGCGTTCTGTGCTAATGTACCTGGGCATGCCCCACGCCTTATCAAAGTCGATGCTGCCCGTCGCACTTCCGGTCCTCGCAAACTCGTGAGCCTTCACACCACTGTGATTAGGCTTACGGCAACCTGGCACGACATCGCTGGACCTGAACGACGAGAATTACCGAGTTGACGAGACGCCAGATACACTGAAAATGGGCCATTTTGATTGATCAAGCTCATGCATTGGTATCTACTACGAAAAAGCGATCAAGGTATGACTAAGCTCCATCCGAGACTACAACAAGTACTGGAAGTAGATGTTCTCCTTGTCTGTCATGTCTTGCAGACCGTTTTCTCCGTGGACCTCGGCACCTGCCTCATGGAAATGGCCGCTCATCGAATAATCGATGGGGTTCCTGGGAAGACCAGCCGCCTCGCGCTGATCGCACTTCTTCTTCTGCATCCAGGTGATGAGAAGAACTTGAGCGACAACAACACCCCAGAGGATGCACCAGATGATCAAGATGCCCTTGAGAGCGTTGACCTAAAAACGTATTGTTAGCGATGAGACTTCGGCTGAATATACGACAGGATGGGAGATACTTACGTATTGCGGTTGGAACTTCGCATCAAAGATGTAAGGGGTGATGATGTTGCCTACAGCGTTGCCGGCGTTGAAAGAAGTGTAGTAGACGGCCTTCTTGGTTTGTCCGGCGCAGTTGGAGCCCATCCAAGAGATGAGCAAAGGGTTAATGGCGTATACGAAGGCGATCAAATAGTAACCTGCGAGAAGACCACCCTTGTTGTCTGGAGTTTTTGGTAGCGCAACCAAAAGGGCAACACCAACAATAACGATGGTGACTAGGCCGAGGAAAAATGGCGACTTGCGCTTGAAACGGTAGGCGAGCCATGACGCACCAAGAATGGAAACGACCTGAAGCGCTCCGAAAGGCATGTTCAGCAAGACAGCTTCGTCCGAACTGAATCCAGCCAGATTCTTCAGGATAATGGAGCCGAAGACCGAAGAAACCGACGCACCAGCATTGACAGCGATGACCATGATCATGTACAGCCAGTATTTGGGTTCAGTCAGGGCTTCGCCGACATGCTTCCAGTTGAACTTGTGCGAGACAATACCCTGTTGATTCGCCTTCACTCGGTCAACAGCCTTCAAGCGATCCTCCGGTGTCAGGAAACGAGCCTCGCCGGGGCTATCGTGGGCCCACCAGTATGTGATAAGACCGATTACGATAGTCAAGAGCCCGAAAAAGAGGTACACCATCTGGTAGCGGTACAGCGAGGACGAGTGTATCTGAGCGAAACCGTAAACGATGGGTGAGCTGAGCACGGTGCTAAGACCATAGCAGCTGTACCAGCAAGCCACGCGGAATGGCTGCTCGGAACGCCTGTAGAAGGCAATGGTGATCATCGAGAACAAGGGAACGACCATAGCCTCAAAGGCACCGAGGAAGAATCGCGATGCCAGCAGCCCGGCGTAATTCCTAGAACCACCGAGGCCACCGGCAACTGAAATACCCCAGCATGTGATGATGACGGGAAGAACGTGACGGTATCGAAGCTTGACGAGGATCCAGGCGGCCAAAGGCTGCACCCCGAGTTGCGCATAGTATCCGATGTTGCCGATGTTTGAGTAGTCGTTGCCAACGAGATGGGCGTCCTCTTTCAGACCATAGACGGCTGTCAATCCGATGATTCCCTTGTCGGCAGATTGCAGGAAGTACACCATGCAAAGAAGCGACAACATCCAGATGTCTGTCTTGCGCAGGATGCGTTTGCTATCTGCCTCGGTGCAGATATGAGCCTCGCTTAGGCCAGCCTCCTTGCCCTCCTCATACGCCACGGCGTGGTCGATTGAGGTGTCGGACACATGCTCCATGCCGATAGCGCTCGGCTTCTCGTCCGCGGAAGCCATGTCGCAAGAACAGTGGGTAGAAAGATGGGGTAGAGAAGAGATCTGGGGATGAGCTACAATCTGGGGTACAACTCTGGGGTCGGAGTTTATATGCCTTCATTAACGCGACGCGAACCACGCCAACGGGAGCCGGCCCAACGGCGCAACGGACTAGAATTATCCCTCCAACAACTTTGCGCGCACTAGAAGGATGCACTGTTGCTTCCGCGCCTCTTCGCGGACTGTGCTGATGCGAGCTGTTGCGACCAATGGCCCGGCCATAAGACGGTGTCATGATAGCAACCGGCTAAATCGATATAAGGGAGGCACTCGTGATGCGCCAATCGTCCGTAGGAGGGACGACCTTTCGCTTGGATCGACGGCTCGGACACCAACAGACCGAGAAGGTTGTTGATTGCGCTGACGAAGTGAGTAAAGCTCACGGTGTTTGAATATCGAGAGGTTTACCCGAGCGGTGTTTGAACGAAAGGCGAAGCTTATGGGTGTAGTACGTACCGCTCCGCCGTACAGCAACGAAACCTACATCATGCCGATCTAGCCATGATCCCGGAAGCGTGGTATACGACGCGACGGTCAGAGCTTAGTGCGTACCCTGACGCTGTTTCGACTCTACGAGTTTATCTGGGGACCATCCAATAGACACTGCGTCTTTTTGCTGGCATCACTGATCGAACTTACGCTCAAACACCTTTGATGTTGAATATAAGACTCCCCGCAGTGAACAAGACTTTCTTGACCCTGCGACAAGCTTTTGGCCAAGAGTGACCCAGGTGGCAATCTTGGGATTCTGGAAACGCTACGGCTAGAGTGGTGATTAGCCGCCTTACGTCATCCACCCCGATAATTCCACCAACAACTTACGCGTGCTAGCGCCACAGCCATCTCAATTCTACGCGCGCAAATATATTTGAGAGCAACGAAACCGTGCAAGAAGTATGCCAGCATGTTGTCCATGAAACATGGTAAGGTTGGATGATCGAGTCGTTCGCCGGTAGTCAGGGCGGAAGAGCTGCGACCCCACAAATGCCTCGGTGCCCGAGCGGCTCCACCAGCTCCAAGAAATGCGGGGTAAACGTCATAGCAGCGAGAGAGCTATCGTTGATTATCTAGGGATACCTTGAAGACGACCTGTTCAGAAGTTGCAAAACCCGCAACTACCATACCAAAAACCGACAAAGCCCGATTGCCGCTTCCTCAGGACCATGGCCGACCCGAAAACCTCCACTGCCAGTCAGCGCTTGACGCAGATCAAAGATTTTCTTACCATGAATAAGACGGCAACAACCATACCGTGGGATCCAGATAGTACCAAATTTCCGACAAGGAAAGAACTACCTCAGATCCCCGGTGCCCCACCAGAGGCTGCGTGGGTTTGGGGTGATAACGACTACGTGAGTTCGACCGAACCCCAATCTATTTGCGGGCCGAAACTCATCACATGTAGATCGGCCGTCTCAATCTCCTAACACCTACACGCGTCGCAGCGGCTGCAAGAGAGATACGATCGGGTGAGATCGTGCCTGTAAAGTCCGTATCCTCATCATTCTTCTAGTGTGTTTCGACTGACCGCAATATAGCTTGCCTCTCAACGTGCCGAATGTTCCCGCGTTTGGTCGTGAGGTTTTTCAGCATGAGATCAAGACCCTGGCTGAAGGCATTGCCTACGACGATGTGTATCATATGAACACCCAGTCTGGCACGCAATGGGATGGCTTCCGACATTTCGCTCATATTCCCAGTGGATCGTTCTACAATGGCGTATGTATCTAGACTCGTCACCACGAACTTTTGCTGACATCCAGTATAGACCAAAGGCAGCGATGTCACAGGCCCAAACGCAAACCACAAGTGTTCCATCCACCACTGGGCCGAGCACGGCATCGCAGGTCGCGGTATCCTTCTAGACTACCGGGGCTACGCGTACAAGAAGGGTATCAACTACGACCCCTACGACTACTACCCCATCTCATGGCAGGACCTGTATCAATGCGGCCAAGACCAGGGGATTGATATTCGCCCCGCGGCTCAAGGCGGTGACATCAAGCCGGGAGATATGCTGTTCATCCGCAGCGGATGGAAGGAGGCTTACGACAGCAAGAGTGATGAGGATCGAAGCAAGGCTGCTCTTCGACATGGTAGCGGTAAGGATGGTGAGGATGGTCAGCGGTATGCTGGTGTGAGTCAGGAAGAGAAGATTTTGGATTGGCTGCATGATAGTTACTTCGCGTCTGTCGCTGGTGATGCACCGGCGTTTGAGGCATGGCCGACGCATGAGAGTATGTTTTCTCAAATCTACGTGCAACATCAGGCTGACGTTGCTAGACTATCACCTCCACGAGTACATCCTCGCCCTTTGGGGAATGCCGCTTGGCGAAATGCTGGATCTCGAGAAGCTTGCGCAAACGTGCCGCGAGAAGAACAGGTGGTTCTTCTTCTTCACCTCTGCGCCTGCTAACTGCCCAGGTACGTTGATTACCCCGGGTAATAAGCTCTTGCCATCGCTAACAGCATCATAGGCGGAGTAAGCTCACACGTCAACGGCACTGCCATCTTCTGAGCAATTCGAAAACGTTTTAAGACCGCATTGAAACTACATACATCATTATAAACACCTAGCAATCGAACAGCCAATTCCACACATTCTGTCTTGTGTGACCAACACGCGCTCTCTAACCAACACTAGATCGGGCTCGCAAAATCCAAAAATGCCAGCTACGCGGCATCAGCCTTATTCAGACTCCCAGATCTCGACTCCGGAAATGATCCGGGACATGTTCTGCGCTCTCTTCGGCGTGGACTCTCCCCTGAGACGGTCCGTGCGTTCGCGTCTGAGTCTCGCGGCATGGCAGGTGCGCCCAACGCGATTGACTCACTATTATTCCCTTCGATCTTCACAGCCTGCATCGCGCCGTCAAACAACGAGAACTGAATTTGCTGATCCCTCAAAAGTGCACCATAGGTCTGGTCGTTTTTAACAGCGCTGTCATCGCGTCCGACGCGTGCGTTTGGCGATGGCGGCATCGGTGGTGGTTCGCGTGCTGGTGGCGCAAACTTCACCTCGTCGACAGGGCCAGCAGCTTGCGCCGTGCCGAACATGGACGACGACAGGGATTTAGCATTGAGCTGGTTATTCGCGTCTGTGTCGTCTAGTACATCAAGTCCGTCGGAAGGATCCGCCTTGTGTATTTGGTCTGCAGTTCCGATCCGGTCATCGAAAGCAGGCAAAAAGGCATCACTTTCGTCGCGCAGCCTCCTGTGTTGCTCAAGTCTTCGCCCCTCCCAGTCAACTACAACAATGCCACATTCAATAGAATCTGCAGCGACCTGCTCAGCTTCGTGGCTCGCTTTCTGCCGTCGGTATTTATAGCGTTGTTGCCTTTTTGCTTCCTCAGGTGCAGTTCTCTGCTTGTAGCACTCTTCGGGCTTCGCATGCGTATGGTACTGACAGCCCGCCGGCGACGAAGACCATTCATCATTTGAAACGCGTCGCATAGCTGTCTCAAGCGCGGAACAGAGGAATGGCTGCGGCAAGTCTGACGGGTCGACGTCGCCGAACCCTTCCGTCGCGTTGTCAACCCATCGATCGACTAGAAAGCGACCTAGAGCTTTCGGCATGTTGTGTCTTTTCTCGCCAAAGATGTGCGAGATGGTATCGATATCTGGTCGTACGCCCTTCACTATCTTTTCCTCGAGCAGGTCCATCACGCGGTCAACGAATTCGACATCATCTATCACGTAGCCATGTATCGTTGCGTTGATCAATGGCCAGCATGCCATCCACGTGTGCTGCGGATTGACACCGTCGAGGTCGAAGTTGACGTCGCGGTAGCGGGTTGGAATAACGCCAGTGCGTCGCCATATTTGATGCAGTTCCGCCGCGTCAGCATCGATGTTGCGGCGTCTGAGGAGAGTAGGCGAATCGATGTTGTCGGGAACATTCACGGCAGGTAATCTAGCCAAGCGCCGTGTCAAGTACCAGGAATCTGGGTTCTGACGGCCATATAGTACGCTGATCATTGACTGTCTCGGCGTATCCACAGCCGCATCTGGTATCGGCGGTGCAAACTGTACCTGCACTCTGTTGGATGACTCTTCTCTCACAGGCTCTGACTGCACTGGTCCTTGCACGTCCGCGTCAACATCATCGATGACTTCATCGTCACTCCACAGGCTCCCGCCTTCAAGCAGCGTATGATAATCGCTCTTTCTTGTGCGTGCCTCGATGCTTGGGCGACGGCGAAACTTGCGACCTGTATCGCTGATATGGTCACTTCCATCGAAAATGCGGTCGACGTTCCTAGGTTTCTGGCTTCTTGGACTGGCCGGGACACTGCTGCGGGATTGCGATGATCGTGATGTTCCGTGGTGTAGGTAATTTTCTGGGTTGACGCCTGGAAAGCCTGTTGGTATGCGCGGAGGCATGCTGCCGCGCTCGAGCCTCCTTTGGATGTCGCGCTTTTCTGAAGACGACATCTTATCGGTAAAGAGGTTTCCCATGTCGAAGAGTGGAGGATGTCACGATCTTTCAAGGATGCGCAATGGTACGGTGATCAGAGTCCAACCAGGAAGCAAGGCTTTGTAAGTTGTCAGTATCGTAGGACAAGGTTTGGTCATATCGAGCAGCGTTCGTGTGAAGCGCGCGACTGTTTGTCATTGGTAGTTTTGTCACGTTACTACTAGCAAACGAAGCTCACGTTGACTGCTGATGTCACCGCTCGCCTGGCCATGACTGGAAGTGATTCAGAATCTAGGCATGAAGACGATTTACACATCACTTTTCTTCCATAACAATTCATCGTAAGACTAAGATGAAGACGCCAGGTACGGAACTCGACAAACATGTCTCCATTGTCTCGCGACACCATATCGCTCGGCATGTATACGACGCCCTCGCAGCGCGAGGCCACTATATCTTCGGCTAGATCAGCTTTGAAGTCGATAACTTTTGTTCTTGCAGGTCGAACAACCCTCTCGGAGCACTGCCCCACAGAACACATCGGAGTCGACTACGCTATAGCCGAACGCTCACCGTACCTTTGCATCTACCTTCCACAGCAAGTACGCGATGTTAGACCTTTACTACCCATTCAGCTCGGCGACATCGATCCAGCGGGCTTCAAGCTTTATATCGAGTGGCTCAACACCGGCGCTGTCAAGTTCTCCGATCAATCATCCCTTCAACTCCGCTCCTGTATCGATCTCATATACGCGCACATCGTCGGCTCCGCGTTCTCGCAACCCAACTTCCAAGACTACATCATCGACAAGTTAGCTTCTATTCTTGACCCCGCACAAACTTTCGACCAAAAGATTCTTGAGATGTTGTATCTAGAGAAACACGCGTCCACGCTACTGCGGAAGTTTGTTACGGACAAAATGTTCGCGTATGACAGGAGGATGCTAGGTATGCTACGAAATTCTGTGGAGGATATCGTGACAGGTATTAGTGATGTGAAGGGATGCGAGTATCATGTACATGATGAAGGGTTGTGTTATAGGCATGGAAGGGCAAGTGAGTTTGAAGAGATGGGGAGAGGTAGCGATCTAGGAGGGAAGAAGTGGAGTATCGATGATGACCCGGAACTGAATGCTATAGCAGCACAGTACTTGGGCAAAGCAACGACCTCTTCGAGAACTGACAAGCCATCAGAGAGTCTCGACACCAGACACCGTACATCGACAGGAAAGCGTCAGCCTGAGGCAAACAAGCTCGCACCGCAGCTCAAGATCCCGTCATTACATAACATGTACGAAAATGATCTTCATCACCAAGAACCGACCGTACGGTCCCGGAACTTGCGGACTTCCCGGCCCTCAACAAGATCATTGACTCCCGACATAGATGTTGACAAGCCCCTACCACCCACGCCAGAGATACCGCAAGCGCCCAGTACCAAAGATCTAGTTCTTGAATGTCTCGGGCGTCTACCATCAGTACCAGAGCAACCCTCGACACGGGAGCTGATTGACGACTGTCTCGCAAGGACACCTTCTGAATACCTCAAACCTATCACGCCCTCAGACAATAACGAATTTGCGCGTCAGGCCGAACCATCAACATGTCTAGCTACGCCTACAACTGCGTCTTCACCCGCATCGTCGACCCTCACTTCGACCTCTCGACCATCTTCACCGTCAGATCCCATACCGCCCTCGCTCCGCCCCGGCACACCCCTACCATCCACGCATCCAACCCGCAACCTAACCTTCGCACCTCTACCGAAGTCGCACCTCTCAAAAAAGAAACCCTTTCCTCTAAACAACACACTACGCGCATCATCTCCATCGCCGTACCATCACAGGTCGACCACTCCAGCACCAAGCCCTTCACCTTCACCGTCTCCATCACCATCCCCATCACCCTCACCCTCCCCACCCCCGCTACTCCAGCGCCCCTACCATATATCCCCCTCCTCACCCTCCCTCCCGCACTTCGCTCCGTTGATAAAACGCAAACCGGCTCCACCACGAGGCGTAGATTGGCTAGAGCAATGGGACAGATTGTTTGAGTTGCAAGGGACTCAAGGGTTCGGGCTGAGGAGGGGAGAAAGGAAAGAGAAGAAGAGTCGTTTCATGGAGATATTGGAGAGTGTGGGGAGTGGGAAAGGGAATGCAGACCGGTTTGGGTGAAGACGTTGAACTGACAATACTAATCACGTCAGCTAAGTAGTGTTTGAACGTTCCGTTTCATTTGCTATCGTACAGATGATGTCATCCTAACCCCGTGTTCACGTAACTCATGTTGGTATAATCATCCCCTATAATCCCATCCCATCCCATCGACAGTGTTAATCCAATACGCCGTGTCTATGCTTTGTATCCAATGCAGGTCAAGCGCGATGCACGCGTTTATGCATGCAGTGTCTCCTTGAAGCCACTGTCCGCATCCGCAGTCTTGCCTTCCTCGTTGAACTCCCAGGCCAGGAACTTCCAGTTGAGCTCGCTCGGTCGCCAGAAGAGGCCTTTCTTCAATCCGCTGCCCGCTGAGGAAGAGTCGCCTGGTCCGTCTGCTGTTATGCCGCCGGTGTGAGGCATGCGCTTGCCGAAGATGCAGCGCCGGAAGCGCGAGTGTAGGATGGCCATGGAGCACATGACGCAGGGCTCGTTGGTGAGGTAGATGTCGAGATCTACGCACAGGTAGCCGCTCGATGAGAGGTTATCCTTTTCATAGTATAGCTTCTCGAGACCGGTGAGGGGATTATCGCAGAAGAGGGAGCGGTCGAGGAGTGCAGGGTCGGTGCCGGCAGCACGAAGCCGCTTCTTCGCAACCATGGCAATGGCGCGGTGGACAGCGTGAGCCATGACATTGCCGGTGCCGGTGGGCGGTTCAGCGGTGCCGGTAAAAGACCTCCAGCGGCAGTCACCTGCGACCGCGACGATCTCTGGCTGGTTCCTGGTGCGGTCAACCACGACGACGCCGATCTTCTCACCCAGACACTGATCCGATATCTGCTGGCCGGCCGCTCGGGCGAGAGCCAACCAGTTTCCAGCCTCGGGTTGTAGTTCCTCCTGGTTGCGTTGTACGAGGCTCGGATGGGGGCCGTAGGGGTTGGTGTTCTTGTACGAGATGGGCCAGTACTTGTCGCTCCAGTCGTCAGCCTGCTGCTGGGATATGGGCGCCAGGGCCGGCACGGTTACGTAGAGGATCCGAGGGAGCGCAGTCTTGGGGCCGTCGAAAGGCGGGCAAGTCCGTATGAGAGCCGCGAGGTTGGCGTGAGGCATATGGCGCGTGGGGCACAGCAGGAAGTAGCGGACTAAATCAAAATCTTTAGCATCAGCCTCTCCATGAGCAGCCTCACTGCCAGCATCGACTGAGGACGGGAGCGCGGAAGGGGAAGCGGGGGTCGCCGGTGTTAGTGGGGAAGATGGTAGTTCTGAGGCAGGAGCATCTTCGTTACCCCTGGGGAGCCTTGCAGGCGGATAGAACTGTTTCTGCAGGTGCGGCGGCAGGTACTTGAACTGCACCACGCGGCGCAGGTGAGAGATCTCCGACGTCTTGAAGTCGGGCAACGCTGCTTGCACGGCACTGCGAGCGGGCGACGTTAGCAGAGATCAAGCGGGTGCCCCACGAGTGAAGGCCTTACTCCTTGATGACGTTGGCAAACTTGGCCGGCACCTCGACGACATAGACGGTGTGCGTCTCCAGGCTGGCGCGCACCTCGTCCTTGGTGCGGAGGGGGACCAGATGGCCTGCGAGAGGCGGTGGGCTGCTCATAGCATCGCCTGGCGGGGGAGTCAGTGTTGAGGGCAGCTAAAAGGCTACTATGCGTCGTATAGGCGTTGGCTAAGAGGCTGGCGGTGGGATGTTGGTCGGTGGGAGCGTGAAGCCTGCGCAAAGACAACAAAAGTCTCAGGGTCCAGCGGGCCGAGCCTGCTTAACTCCGGCTGACCCTTCCTCTTTCATCCAACCTCACCTCCTCGCTCCTCACCAGCCCTCATCATACAGCAGCAACATGTCGCGATAAATCCTCGCCCATGGAGTGAGAAGGAAAGAGTAGGAGGCGTCTCGGGGTAAGGCGCGCAGCTCCCGACTCGTGGGCGCGCCTCCCCGCATCACGTTGCAGCGAAGGAGCGCCAATCTTCACCCAATATGGGGCCCCGCATCATCTCCTCCCGATGATTCGGTAAACATCATCCAAACGCGTCTTGAGAGGACCTCAACCCCAGCATCCAAATCTGCCGATATGCATGGCGTTGTAGCTCAAGCCCGCTGCCGCTCAGAATGCCCCGGCCAAGAGCCCACGGCATGGTGCCCCACTGCAGTATATGTGTAGTGATATGAGATGCAGGCCTCGCCCGTCTTGTCTTCATTCTCGATCCAACTTGTCGTCTGGATTAGGCAGTCATGGACAGCAAGACGGGAGCTACCCATATCGAAACCACCCACGGTCGCGACGCCCACATCGTGCCCATCGACCAGGAAGCCAATGAGGACGTCCATCATGTCAAGCTATCGTGGAGGTCTTGGATGGTTGTCTTTTGCTGTTGCTTCGCGTGCGTAGGACCTATTCCATTTTACAATCTCACTAATCGATCATGCAGTGTCATGTCACAGGTCTTCGTGGTAGTGGCTGCAGGATCAGTCCTGTCATTCATCATCCGCGAGCTTGGAGAGCCTGCTATTGCAAGCTGGATCATTCAAGTATAGAATCTCAGACAAGAAATTTTGAAATCAATTGCTAACATCCTCTAGGGTCCTTTGCTCATGCAATCAGTCCTTTCCCCTCCCGTCGGTCGCCTGTCTGATGTCTTGGACCGCAAGCTGTTCGCCACCATACCCCCATTGATCGCATGCATTGGTTCCATCATCTGCGCCAAGGCTACGAGTATGTCCATGTTGATTGGAGGCGGTATTCTCATTGGCACGACGCTTGCGACCATCTCCATTGTTCAGTCTATCCCATCCGAGATCCTGCCTTTGAAATATCGACCTCTAGCGAACGGACTTGCAGGCGTTGCTGGGGTATTGGGCGGAACGTAAGTAGACATCTCACGTAAGTAGATGCAATTGACGGGTACTGATTCCGCACAGTGTCGGTAGTCTAGCAGCTGGTGCGGTCACCAACCTGAGCGCTTCCGGCTGGCGCTACATCTTCTGGATCCAAGTCGGCCTACACGGCATCACATCGCTTGGTTTGTTCGCATTCTACTGGCCAAAGAAACGCACCGACTATCCGCGGATGAGCTTCAAAGAGTGGATGTGGGCTTGCGACCCCATCGGTTCTCTTCTTCTCGTTGCTGCTGCTACCTTGATGCTTCTGGCGCTCAACTGGGCAGGTGGCGCGTATCCGTGGAGCAACCCGCACGTATGCGCCAACCTAGTTGTTGGCATTGTCCTCTTCATTGCTTTCTGTCTTTACGGTAACAAACATTCCATCAAAATTTCCGAGTCAAAAGCTGACGTGGTACAGAATGGAAGGGCCGATCTGATGGCATCGTCGCGCATGTCTTCTTCTCCACTGGACCAAACTTCTGGCTGTCGACTTTCGCCTTTGCTATCGAGGGATGGATCTACTACTCCGCCATCAACGCCGTTACGCCACAGCTTATTCTCAACGTTGGATTCGAAGACAACGCATGGGATATCGCCATTCGGCAGCTGTCCTACAAGATCGCATCTATCTTCACATCTCTTGCTGTGACATGGTACGCAACGAGATTCAAAGACATGAGTAAGCCCCATCCCATCCCACTCCATTCTTCCCACTAACATCCCCCCTAGAAACCCCCCTAGCAGCCACCTTCGCCATAATGTTCATAGCCTCAATCTGCTTCGCATTCATCCGCCCCGGCTGGGCCACCGAACAAATCATCTTCACCGCCCTAACAGGTATCGGCTGCGCCGGGCCCCTCACACTCCTAGTCGCATGCATCCAATTCACCGCCCCCCACGCCTTCCTCTCCACAGCAACCGGCCTCGCCTTCTCCGCGCGTGCCATCGGCGGCGCCTTCGGCACAGCAGTCATCTACGCAATCGTGAATTCGCGCATCGCATCTCACCTCGCCGGCGACGTCAGTTCCGCTGCTATCGCTGCCGGCCTCCCTGAGTCTTCCGTGCCTGCGCTTCTGGCGGGTATGAAAGGGAGTTCGGCGCCTAAATACCGGGGTAATGGTGTACCGGGTATGAACGAGACTATCATTACGGCTGCGTGGGACGCGAGTCATTGGTCGTATGCGCGTGCGTATAGGCTGGGGTATTGGAGCGTGGTGCCGTTTGTTGCGCTGGCTACTATTGCGGTGCTTTCGATGAAGGGGATTAAGCATTTGATGACGGAGCATGTGGAGGCTACTGTGGAGAGGGAGAGTGATGATGAGGGGAAGGGGTTGGGTAAGGCGGGGCTGTGAAGAGGGAGGATTGGGAGGGCGTGTACATGGAATGGATGGATAGTCGTATGATATTCATGGATGTGCTGTTCGTTGTATGCGCGTCCCCTATAAGGTGATGACTGTGGATAAAAAGTGTCTTACAGGCCCACATTCCGTCTCTTTGTCATTCTTCCGCGCATCGCGGGTATCTTCATGATTGCAAGGCTCCTTTCTGCATAGTTCTAGTCGCCCGAAGCAACTGCAGAATTAGGGCGGCGTTGAGAGCCCAGCTCTGGGTCAGCCCCACGCTCAAGCAAATACTGCCCTGTCTTGGAAAAAAGATTCTTCCTAGTCGATTGGTATGCGGTGTATCCGTCCCTGTCCTGAGTATCGATATCTGCCCCAGCATCAAGCAGTAATTTGGCCAAAACGATGCTTCTGTCTTGATTATAACCCATCAGCCCGAGGATGATGAGTGGAGTTCGTCCACTGCGGGAAGCGACATTGGGATCAGCGCCAGCTTCGAGCATATTCGGACAATGCTTTCTCCTTTAAAGTTTTGAATGGCGTAGAACAATGCCGTCCTCAAGGACTTCTCCCTGCGTTCGTTGACATCCACGCCGGCATCCAAGAGAAGCTGGATTATCTCGGGGTTGGGCGTCTGCTCAAGTGCCAGGATCAAAAGCGGTCGCAGAAGCCTCTTGCTTGTGCATGTCCAATCAGCTCCCGCTTCAAGTAAGATCTTCACAATCTCAGTCCTCCGATTTTCAACCGCATCCTGCAAGGGCGTCGTGTCGTCGACGTCTTTCGAGTTGACTGCTGCTCCACGTTCAACAAGGAGCTCAACGATCCTGGTGTGACCCAATATCGCGGCAACATGCAGTGCGCTACACCCCGCGAATTCCTTGTTCTCATCAATGCGCGCATCTATTGGCGAATTGTATGCCACCAACGTCTCAGCAAGTCTCGTGTCTCCCCTCGATACGGCCCAAGTAAGGGGAGTCTGACCACGTTCGTTTCGTAAATTCAGATCAGATCCTTGCTGGAGAAGCGCCATAGTAGCGTTCTCCAGGCCATGGTGCATTGCCACATGGAGCCCGGTGGTGTAGAACAATTTGTAGTTGTAAATGGACCGAAATTTTTCCGTTGTTAGAATGCTACGACCAGTCCTCGTGTAGAAAAAACATCTTATGACGTTGGTCTGACGTGAGAGAAACCCCATCACTCGTTGAAGACTTGACGGCGCTAGAACAGCGTGGTGACCCCAATACCATGCCGAGTAATCGTACCATACATGGTCTACCAAAGAACCCATGATTTTGGGGTTGGTGTATCGATCCAAAGACAGGTAAGAGGTACAGACGTTCGTTATCATGGCCTGCGCATCCGGAAACCATTGATCCAGTGTGCGCTTAAGGTATTCTTGTGTTGTATAGTGAACCAGCCGAATGATGCCGCTGTGATCATCCACGGTTACTAGGCCAACACATGAAGCTAGAACATCCTCGATATCTGGGTAATTATCTGGGTCCAATTCCGGTTTCCCAATTTCTACAGCTAGAGCTTCTCTCAGTTGCCGTGTAGACAGGGGTCGTTGGGCGCAAGTAAGGAATGCTAACGCTTGCTTAGCGAGCTCCGTCTGATCAGCGAATTGGCCTTCTATTCTTTTCATCGCTGAATCGTATGCAGAATCATAGGCTTCCGACCCAGTGGCAAGTCTTCTCAAGGTGAATTTGACTGCTTTTACGGCCCTCTTTCCGATGAGAGAGTCAAGATGCAGCTTAGCCAAGAGAAACCTATAATCTCGTCAGCAGGGATGGTTCTAATACCGGATAAGAGCGGCCTATATTCCGCGCACTGCCTCCACGATCTTTGACACAACCTCTTCCTGCAATACTTCATCTCTTTGCACGAAACCAGGGAGGCGAGTCATGTTCTCTGAGAGATACCTTCGCACGTCGTTGTTGTCTGCTTGAATCTTCAAGTGACAGGCTGTCTTGAACTTCTCGGTAATCTCTGGTATGAAACGTGACGTAGCGAGGAGGTTGATGTGGCATTGCTTTTGTAAGCTTTGGATACTTGACAGTAGCTTTGTGCGGCAGTCATGAGATGTAGAGCATTCATCGAGAGCATCTACCACTATAAACACTCGTGAGTATGTTGCCGCTACTGACTTTAGTGTCACCATGGTAGCTTCAATTCGATCTAGAGTTCCTTTTGGCGGTGATTTCTCGTAAAACTTGACGACGCATTCTGGTAATGGAACTTGATGTTCGACGAGCTGTTTGAGAAGAGCTGAGAGTAGGGCTTCTAGTGTCTGCTCGCTATGACGTCTGTAATTGCAGAACAGGTGAGCCAAGCCAACCGTAGGGTCATGATGATGACGTTCTTGCAAGTCAGCGTTGATGATGGAGGCGAAGACTGTCTTTCCAGCTCCTGGAATACCAGGGCAAAACAAAGTGCGATTATCAGTGCTGAGCCAGTCTTTATAGGTCTGTGAGTGCAACAGCCATCCACCGGTACCTGGTTGCCGCCGACTAATGGCGTCCCGCTGATCTGAAGCGTGGTCGATGGGTGTGAGCCAGTCAAAAATCCGCTGACGTTCTCTCATAGCCTCTTCCGTATCTTGACGATAGTGCAGCTCTTCGACTCTGCCTCGAACGCCATTTTGGGTCGTTTGTATTGATACCAGCTCGCCATTGATGCTTCGCAGCGTGGAATGGGTTTCCTCGACGTATAAACCCAGAGCGGATTTTACGTAGGTGAGATGTTGTTCATTGCGCTTTGAACTAGCGTTGATCTCGATGAGTAGTGATGTCGCATTGTTATGAAGAGCGAAAGTCACCATATCCATCTCGCACTTAATCGCCTCGATCAGCTTCTCCACATCTTTCTCCCTAAAAGGCCATCCCAACTTCTCGACAATGCCATCTCGGGTAGATAAAGCGACGGCTGCCAGGCTTAAAGCCTCCTGAAGGCGCGCAAGCGGAGTAGAGAGTAACTTCAGAGTCTTAGACCACTCTTCAAGTTCGTCGGAGTCTGCTACGTCGTCTCGCAGCTGAAGTAGCAGGTTACTGCAGGCTCGGACCTGTGAGCGGAGGCGCTGTTTTACTTCCTTGGCTCCGCATGCGGCAATGATGTATTTGATCACCTTTTCGCATAGCTGGGTAACTGCTATGATGCTTGCGGTCGTCTCCATGTGTGCCGTAGTGATGGTGTCATGTCCTGGTGAGATGGCACGAGACGCGGGGTTGATGTGAGCCCCAATCAAGCTCATGCACGATGGGAGGCTGTGTCACACTGCAGCAGCAGGCAACGAATGCGCGATCATCAATGAGTGACGACATGATGCGAATATGTGGAGAGGTCGCTATCATCTCGTGTCGATGTATTTGTAGTGTGGCTTTGCAAGACGACTGAGGCGTGGCTGCCCTAAGCGGGTAGGAGGTACCCGATTGGCACCCGTGGACCGGTTCCGGATCACGTGTCGTTTCGGAGTGTTGGGAAACTTTGTACCGTCGCGCGTCGATTGCTTCTTGGTGTTGCTTGTCACACGTAGCGTATATAGCCCCAATTGCAAGGAACAGACTATCTAGGATTAGGCACATAACAAATGACAAAGCCATGTTAATCCAACGATGTCACAGACTACCCATTAAAAGCCCTAGTCATAATCCAGCCCCTAGCGGCCATCCCCATCCCTCGTCCCATATGAGCATCGTTGTCTTGAGATCTTCTTATTCCAGCCCTCCGAACCAGTTTGGACAAGTTTCGGTGCCATGACCCTCGCAGAGTGGCAATCCAGACGCCATCGGTCCGAGATCAGCCTTGTTTTCGCGTCATAGCGGGCAAACATGGTTGTCAGACAGTGTTTAGCAGAAGTAATGATATTTAATGGCGACCCAATGATTGGACGGAGAGAGAAATCTGACAGCGTGACTGTCAGGGCGGATCAATCGAAGTGTCGACATGCCTTCATTATCGCGAAGGACTTCGGTACCGGCATATGCATCGAGGAGTCTTTGCTCCATGTCGTTATTTGGGTCGGGAGAAACTTCAATATGCAATGGTATTTCGCCGGTAAAGTCTCGAGGGTGGATACTGGCGCCCTTGTTGAGAAGTAAACTGACGATAGATCCGTTGCCCGCGATCGCAGCGGCATGGAGAGCTGTTTCGCCTTCCGAGTCTATACCATCAATGTCGGTCCCTATTTCTAGCAACCTTTCAACGTTTCTTGTATCGTTTCCTCTGGCGGCTATGTGCAACATACCATCCATGTTGACTCCAGCTTCCAGCAATATGTCAAAGATTCTTGAGTGGCCTTCGTTAGCCCCTAAGTGCAGTGGGCTCTTCTTCCCATTGCTAGCGATCCCGCCATTCTCCTTCGGATTTACGACCATTCTCAAATCGATTAGACATTGGACAATCTCCACATTCCCAAGGTCCACTGCCAGGTGCATTGGCGTGTAACCAGACCATAGGGAGTCCGCTGTGTGATATAGCACTGCGTCCATCATACTTTGAACCTCCGGACGAGAGATGACGAATTGAACAACGTTAAGATCTTCACTGCAGACTGCATAGTGGAGTAACGAGTAGTCAAATCTGCTCCTCAGGTCTGCTTTAGCACCGTGGTTGAGAAGTAGTCTGACTATGTCAATATGACCACTCCGTGCAGCGAGCACAAGAGCAGTATGTCCCAGTCGGTCGGGCGCGTCCACATCGTATCCTTGCTCTAGCAGTGTGACTAACGTGTCGCGAAGCCCAAAGTGAGCAGACAGGTGGAGACCTGAGGTCGTATCTTGATCTGGTTGCGAACACTCAATCGCCCTCTCCCAAAGCCGATCATGTTGTCTCCACAATGGAACTGTGACTTTCAGCGCAGAGCGTCTGAGGTTCCATGGTCGATCAAAGAATTCGATGACTGTCCGATTAACTCCTGAGATCTTGGAAGCATGGTATCCCCAGTTGCGTGCGGCATATCTGTATAAAGAGTCCATGTATCCTGGGAGCATTTTGGTCGTAGACTGCGAATATGAAATTGCGCTTACGCAATTTTTCATGTCAGGAAGGTAAGCTCCCGCTCTACGGCGGCGTCTACGACGACTCCGCTCAGAATGCTGATGACCCGGCTGAGGATACTGGTCCGTACCTGCATACTCGTCCAAGGAGAGATACGCGATGCAAGCTTCTGTGATCATTGTCTCTGCAGCCGGAAACCATTGATGCTGTGTCCTAAGCAGATATTCTTGGGTAGTATAATGTGCCAGACGAATGATGTCGCTGTTGTCGTCGACGGTCACAAGACCAGCACAAGCGGAGACCATGTCTAGAATATCCGGACAATCATCCTCATCGAATGAAGACTGTCCTACCTGAATACCAAGCGCTTTTCGGAGCTTTTTAGCTGTGAAAGGCTTTCTTAAGCACGTGATCCAAGCAAGCACTTCCTTCCCAAGCTCTGCTCGATCTGGAGATTGCTCTTCAATACGCTGCATGGTCAGTCGGTACGCATAATCGTATGCTTCGGTCTCGGTCGTGGCCTTTTGACCCCTTGTTTCGGTGGTTATCTCTTTTAATGCATTGCGTATCGCGTTTGCTGATCGCTTGTCGTATAGGCTTTGTAGGTAGAGCTTCGCTAGAAGAAACCTAGCTTTTGTCAGTGGCTGGCATCTCCATTGCGCAGTTCGAGCTTGGTGATGCTCTGAACCTTGCTTTGTACTACTTACATGCCATCCACTGATTCGACGATTTTCAGCTTGATTAGTTCCTGGAGTTCGACATTGCGCTGAACGGACTGTGGCATGTTGTTGAGGTTACCGACCACATATTTGCGAACATCATCGCTACTAGCACGTACTTCGAGAGGCTTCTCTGCGCCAAATTCTGCAAGCACTTCTGGGACGGTCCTTGATGTCGCTAGCAGACTTGTTCTGGACTTTGCTTGTAGATTCAGCAATTCAGATAAGAATTTCCTCCTGCAGCCATCAGATACTTGGCATTCGTCTAGTGCATCGATCACAACGTAAAGTCTCTGGAGCAGTGCAGCTACGTCCTTGAGGCATTGAGCGAGGATCCTCCACGAAGGACGTCTGACGCCGTTCCCATGGTCGGAATAGAGCTGTTCGATGGGTATCGGCAAAGTTTCCTGGCTTTCTGCCAGTACCTTCAACAGGCTGCAAAGCATGAACTCCAGGGTTTGCTCATCGCGAGTCCTGTAATCGCAATAAAAGTAGGCGACTGCTACGCCGGCCTTGGTCTGGAATCGGGTCTGTAGATCGTCGATAATGATGGAGGCGAGCATCGGCTTGCCAGCCCCAGGCAGGCCAGTGCAGAGTAGCTTTCTCGCACTAGAGTTGTCGAGCCAAGTGTCGTAGGCTTTCGACTCTAGAAACCAGTTGCCGGTACCCTCTTGTCGCTTGCTCAATATATCATGATGCTTGGATGCATGATCATAAGTAGATAGCCATTGGAGCACCGCGTCGCGTTTCTTGGAAGACTCCCGGTGGTGGTCGGTACTTTGAAGACGTTCAACGTCGTGGTGCAAACCGACCTGGAGCGTTTGAATTTGCGACATATGATCATTAAGCTTACAGAACTCCTCCCCGATCTTGCTCGCACTCATGTCCATCGATTGCAGTAGAAGCGCAAGGTCTCGATTGTTTTGCTCCGCGCATTCCTTGATCTCCCGAAGCAGCTTCCGAGAATCTCGCGATAGGGCCAAGTTTATCAGGATTTTCTCGCGTTCGATCGACTGGATGAGCTTCTGTACATCCTTCTCTTGAAATGGCCACTTCAATGAGCCCCTTAGAGTATTGTCGTGTCTCAGTCGGATCTCCACTTGCTGTAGGATAGTTTGAAGCCGGGGTAGTGGTCCATCAAGTCGTTCGAGCACATTGATCGTGTCAACCAAGCTTTCGCCCTCGTCGATATCTTCGGCATCATCCTTCAGCTCTTGCAGTATACGTTTGCAGGCGCGAATTTCTCCGCGCAGTCGCTTCCGGTCTTCTGAGGCGTCTTTTACTTTACCGACGTAGTCGACAATCTTGCCCGATAATTGAAGTACGGCGATGACACTTGCCAATTCGCCCAGACCTGACATGACGAGTGATGCATGCGGGCTTCGAACAGCCTTTCACGGTTTTTATGTAGCTTCTGGGGCAAGTCGAGGAGTCGAGCTGCACAAGAGCAGGCCTCTTGAGAGCGGGCACGTCATGGCTCGCACCATCTAGTGCGGGGCGAAGCTGCTGTCCTGCGTCCATCCCATGTACGATCATCATGCAGTCCGACGGCACAGTTCGCGTGTGCAACCACCAGAACGATGTTGATAGGCTGACAGCAGGGCGCAGCCAGCGAAACTTCGACGTGGCGGGTGCTGCCCTCATTGAAGCGATAAACAAGATGGCTGTCCATTTATATCTGAGTGCCTCGTTACGATGCGATGAGAGGTGGTATGATAGTTGCTATGATGTCTGAGAGTGAGGAGGAAAGCTCGAAGGGATACGCACGTGCATTCGCGTTCGGCGCCAAGCTAGCGCGACTTCCTCAGCCTTCATTCACGCAACGCTGTTGCAAACATCCAAAACAACATCGCGACAATGTTACCCGACGAGATCATCGCCCAGCTGTCCGCTGAATTCCAATGCCGCGATCAGCAAATTCATCATCTTGCAGCCCTTTATAGCGTCCGTACACCCCTCAGACTTCAGCGTCATTGTACTGACAAATACCCAGGCGCATCTCCCATCTCCACCCTTTCTGAACATCCATGGCCTTACCGCGACTGGAAAATCCTCGATATTGCGCTCCTTCTTCCATCTGTCTCGTATACAGCACACGATCATCAACGTTCGCGAATGCATAACCGCGCGGCATCTCCTGGAGCGCATCGTCGCGGCTAGTCTGGATGCGCTGGATGAGTTCAACGATGAGAAGATTGACAGGAGACCGTATGCGCGTACAGAGAACTTGAGCGCGCTATGCGTCAACATGGAAAAGCTATTGGCGGGCAGGGGCAAGTTTGTGCTGGTACTCGATGCGGTGGATAAATTGAGGGAAGGGGGTGGAACGTTGATTGCTGCGCTGGGGAGACTAGGAGAGATGGTATGTTATGCATTGCACGGCTCACGGCACGGGAATACTAACAGTATGAACGGATACCAAACCTTTCCCTCATCCTCACAACAACCCTCCCCCTCACGCCCTCCGTCCTCCACTCGTCATCAGCCTCCTTCCTCCACTTTCCATCCTACGCACGCAGTGAACTCCTCACAATCCTCGGCGCCAACCCACCAAAGATCTTCCTCGAACCGCCCTCCCTCGAACAGTTCCCAGACTACACACCCGATCTCGCAGCCGAAGACGACCAGTGGCTCTGGGGCCGCTTCATCCAAGCCGTCTACGACTCCCTCGCAAAGCACACTGGACGAGATCTGATAAGTTTCAAAAGCTGCGCCATGCGCCTCTGGCGACCGTTTGTCGAGCCCGTGGTATCGGGACAGTTCGGCACGCGCGACTTCTCGCGCTTGATGGTGAACAGACGACATTTGTTCCAGCTTGAAGACTCAGTCTTGGATCGCATCATCTCAGACACCGCCAAACCCGTCAAAGAGGCAGTGCCAGCAGGCATCACACCAGCGACGCCCAGCAAGAAGAAGCCAGCGAACATGACAGCGCATACCCTTCCATACTTCACAACCCACATCCTCCTCGCTGCGTACCTGGCGTCCTACAACCCCTCACGAACCGACGTCACATACTTCATGAAGCATACCGATAAGCGGAAGAACAAGCGACGCGCACCCAGCGCTGCATCTTTCAGCGTCACGGGCAAGCGCACAGGAGCCAAGCATCGGAAGATCAGTCGACATCTGTTGACGCCCAGCCCGTTCACTCTGGACAGGTTGCTAGCGATCTTCAGAGCGCTGCTGGAAGGCACCGTGCCACAGGTGGCGGATTTATACACACAGATAGCTACACTGACGAGCATGCGGCTGCTCGTCAGAGCGGGAGGAGCAGGAAGCAACGACGCACTAGAAGGAGGCGGACGGTGGCGCGTGAACTTTGGCTGGGAATACGCACGCGCACTGGGCCGAAGCGTGAATCTGGAAGTTGGTGAATATCTTGTTGGTGGTGTAGACTAGGCCTTGAATCTATTTCATACTCTCCAACACTTGGCTAGGTGTATGTAGAGGACGTCTAAGAACTACAGCTACACTGCAACATACCCTTATACTTCGGTACATCACCACAGAACCTCTCTTCCTCCTCTGCGTTCCACTCCCAGCTTTCTTGGAAGGGGTTTAGCGCGAGTTTCATGATCTGAGGAAGGATCTCGCGTTCGTGTTTCTTTTCGACGCGCTCGATGAGTTCGTCTAGAATCCAGGAGCGGGGGATGAACTGTGTTGACATTAGCATCTTATGTCTCAAGTAACAAAAGCAGGTAAAGTTAGAACTTACGTTAGGATTAACAGCATCCATACCAGCCTTCCTCTCCTCATCCTTGCCCTCCCCCCAATCCTCCTTCACCCTCTGCGACCATTTCTCCAACCACTTCCCAATGCGCTCCCTGCCATCACTCTCCTGCCTCGGCGCGTCGTTCCTACGGAAGAACCTGCCCGCAACATCTTTCCTCTGATCCTCCGTCTCCACTTCACTCAACTTAACATTGCCCAACCGCCTAAACGCATGATGGAAATCCAACTCATACATCTGCAGCGTATCCAACAACTCCGACATCAGATCCTCGAAATCACTCTCCTTCTGCGTTTTGAGGCCCAGACGAAGCGTCATGAGACGGCGGTACTCAGCGAGGAAAACGGCTTTGTACTCTTCGCCTGCGCGGTCGATGGCGGATTCTCCGCATTTGACTATGCCGTCTGCTTCTTCTTCTGTTACGCCTTTTTCGACGAATTGGGCTTCGTCGACTTTGCTGCCGGCGCCCATGAGCTCGCCGAGGGCTTCGCCTAGGCGCACGAGGTTCCACCAAATGATGGTGGGTTGATTGCGGTAGCTGTAGCGCAGCATGTGGTCGTCGTGGTTGGGCGTATAGGTAGGATCGAAGGTGTCGAGGAAGGCGAAGGGGCCGAAGTCGATGGATAGACCGAGGATGGAGGTGTTGTCTGTGTTTAGCACGCCGTTCATGAAGCCGTAGGCTTGCCATTTTGCGACGGTTTCGGCGTTGCGGCGGAGGATGGCGCGGTAGAGGCGGACGTAGCGGTTCTCTTCGCCTTCGTTCTCGCCTTCGATGGTTTCTTTGGGGATGCCGGTGTGCGTCTGGGTGTGGACTTCCTTTGCTTCGCCGGCGGGCAGCTTAGAGGGGAGCTTGTCCCAGCCGCCGTAGACGTGCTCGGCTGTGTAGTCTGCGATTGTGCGGAGGGTCTTTCGGTCTCCGCGGATGCGTTGTAGGTCGAATGTGCCGAAGCGGATCCAGCTTTGCGCAAACCGCGTGACGATGGCTCCAGGCTCTGTCCGTTCGCGCATAACCTTGCTTCCATTGTTCAGGGTGAGCGCCAGCGCTCTTGTACTAGGGATTCCAATGGCATTGAGGTATTCGGAGACGACGAACTCTCGAATAGAGGAGCGCAGTACTGCGCGGCCATCGGCGAAGCGGGAGTATGGTGTCCGCCCGGCGCCCTTCAATTGGATCTCGTATCGTGTTCCGGTCGCTGGGTTGGTAGACTCAAACAAAGAGATGGCGCGTCCATCACCAAGTTGGCCTGCCCATTGTCCGAACTGGTAGCCTCCATAGCATTGTGCCCAGGGGTATACACCAGCCTCTGGGTTTGACTCATCCCATGTCAAGATCTTCTTTCCAGCGACGACTTCCTTGAATTCATCCGTCTTGGCCTCCTCTTCCTTCAAGCCAATATCCTGCATTGCTCGCTGGCTGACAGCTAACAGCTCTGGCTCTCCCTGTGAGTCGGGTCGAACATATGTGTATAGTGCTCCCTTGACCATGCGCGGTCCGAGCATCTGCCGTGGCGCATCGTGCGAGTCTTTCGGTCTGGGGAACGCGTCATCGGCGGGAAGGTTGGATGTGAAGACGTTCGATTTGGGAAGCGACTGCAGCGTGTGCAGTTCGTTGGTCGAGTTGCTCGCCGTCTCTGGAATATCGAGGTGCGCCATGACTTGATTGAGGCGCATAAAAGTGTGGAAGGGGTTCTTGCAGATGTATTTCGTCGACGATATCGCTTTCCTGGTAGGCTGCAGCGCAGTGGAAATTCGAAGCATGAGCTGCTAAGGGTATCAAGTGGTGTAGGAGGGAGGGGCGATGAGGGGAAAATGGCGGCACATATGGGCGCATTCGATGCTGATCAGTGTGATGTGAACGTTATGGGGCAGTGGCGTCATGCCTCGGACGAGCGGGCTTATCGATAAGGACGTCGTGGAAACATCAGAACGTCGCGGTGCCTGACTCGCGCGTTTCTCTTCTGAACTAAATCGCGGACGCGTCGACATCTCCGCCAATCAGCACATCCTTCCTCACGCAACGCATACCTTCTCCCTTAATTGTTAAAGGTGAACGCGAGCGTCTACACTATTACACTTCCAGGATGAACGGTCAGCCAATCCCAGGCTACTTCTGGGACGCAGAGAAGAAGAAATACTTCAGGATCCAAACCCAAACCGCAGCCCAAGGATCAAATCTCAAATATTCCTCAGCAAATATCAAGAAGACAGAGCGCAAAGAGCGCATCCAGAATGTCGCACTCGCGCGTTCCAATAAGCTTAAAAAGGAGCGGGTCGTCAGGCGCAACACGAACAGCTTCGCCCAGACAAACATCGATAGGGAAATCGGCCTGGAAAGACGGTCACGCTATGTCCACGGTCTTTGGCCTGACGCATGCGCAGCCGGCATTCAAGAACGTCCCGAAAAGGTGCTACCTCCATGTGGACTCCGACTCTTTGCCAAAGACCCAGTACATCACACGATATACACAGTCCAAGGTGAGAACAGTGTGCACAGGCAGACTGCAGATCGCGGGAGTCCCAGCGTCCCATCAGAGGATTACTATTCCATACCCAAGTCGTCTTCACTAAAGAGTATCTATTCGTGGTATCCACGAGAAGAGGTAACGCGAACGACATCTACAGTCTCCTCGTTGTCCTTTCTACCGGCGACCGGCGCGCTTGCGGTAACGACCTATGGGTCGGATCGACCGCCAGAAGTATGGCTCAGCGACCCGGGACGCGACGATCCAGTAAGTTAATCTCAAACTCATAACCCCCACGTATGTAAACTCCTTAATGATGAACGGCTATGATTCATTTCACGTTCGAAAGACCAAATAATTTGAGTTAGCCAGCCGCTGTATAGCATAACTCAGAACGAACGAGCTTTTGTACTCACTCCAACATCATTTCACTCACTTTAAAAGACTTTTGCATCTTCCGAGACTCTCGCGCTGACTCACAATGACACAGTACGTAGGGCAAAAGTTTACACCGAAAGACTGTTCAGCTATCTGGGGTGCTGCTGCTAGACCAACAACGTTCACGGCATCACCAGGTCTCGCAAATAGTGTTGCAGCAACCTGGACCGAGCACCTCGCAGTTGCGGCCTCGAGTTCGATGCTGCTATTCACTCGCTCACAGGGAGGTGCGTGGGACTCTCAAGCTGTAGTGAAGTCACTTGAGTCGGATCTCTTGGCCTTGGAGTGGATATCGTATACTACTGTCGCGCTCGGCTGTCGAGATGGAACCATCCGACTATACGACACAAGATCAGGGGGGTCAAGTCACGTCTTGACACATCCCGCGCCCATCTCAAAACTCAAGCGTGCCGATGACGAGACTAGATTGATATGCTCGGGGCTCAACGACACGCTTTTCCTATACGACATTCGCGCACCCCGCTTATCTCGAAACTCGTCGCGAAAGACGTTCAATTACGACAACCATCACTACAATGAAGAGTACTTCAAGACCTTGTATCCGACTCATCGCGATAGTCACAAACGCCGCAAGCTAAACCACAAAGCTTTCAAGAACTGGTCGCAGCCAGTCATGACTTTTGCCCACCTGAACAGAGATGAGCTGGAACTGGACATCGATGTACATCCAAGACTCGGACTCTTAGCGGCAGCCCAAGACACAACGGAAGGTACGGTGATCCGGATTAGCAACATCTGGACGGGTAAATCTGTCAAGGAGATTGATCCAGGCAGCACGCGGCAGGCGAAAATCCGCGCACTCAAATTCGTTGAAAGCGGTTTTGACGGCAATGTCGACCTTTGGTCGTGTTGGGGTGGTGGGATTGCGAAATTTGGGTGGTCACACAGTAGGGGTCTTTAGATTCTGAGGCTCACCACAGAGATCTCAGACATGCTGGCCCACGAAGACTTCGAACTGGTGTTGATGGAAACATTCAGGATCTGTCATTGGTGCGAGCGACCACTAAACTCGCGCGACTGAAGCATGTTCATAGGGCCGCGCCGCTATAACGCAATCACACTTGCACCGACTTGTGACAGTGCGACACTGAAATCGTTCAGAAACATTTGCTGCGATTATCCGCTGCGTCACAATGAGCCTCGTCCAATCGCGCCCAGCAGTTACTAACGCACGTGCATTCTCTGTCGTTTGCTCCTTCCTCGCACCTGCCCCGATTGGATCGCGCGATTTCCTGGTCATCATGTTGATCTCACAACAATACGCGAAAGCTCTTCCCACTTAAATACCTCTAGCGACAGATTGAAGAGTTCTGGAGAGAGATTCACAGCGTCGTGGGCGACATTGGGTGAACGCCTTCACTCTCACCAATTCACCGTCGCTCTCCGAATTACAGATAATCCCCGAGCGAGCGCACAACCCAACTTTCCGCACCAACCATCGGTCTTTCCTCACCAAGGGTCCCAGGATTACACTTGGCACAAAACTATTCGCAGAGTCCCAAAGCCGCGAAGAAAATCATGTCGAATATCGATCTCGAAAAGTGCACCGCCACTTACTCGCCCGCCAGAGCTGTCCTCAGTACCACCCCCCGCCCCTCCGACATCAAGATGAAGTTCCCAATTCTCATCGCTTATATTGGTCTCTACGTCACAACTTACTACCTCAGTCCCACTGGTCCTGGATCCGAGCACCGCGACGGTGACTCCGGACGTATACCACCTCTGGCGATCGTGCTCATGCTACTCGGTCCTGAGCTCATTCAGAAAGCATTCGCTATCACGACTGCAATTTCGAAGACAGAGTCTCCTTGCTTTGGTTTTGGATGGCTGGCTTATAGCTTATCGCTCTTGTCGTCAGTGACGTCTGGCAGTGATGATTTGATGCGGGAACCGGAGTGCGATGTGAAGGTGTTGGACATGAGCACGGGGAAGAGACGACTGAACAAGGAGTTTGCTGTTACAAGGCTGCTCCGCGATCTGGAGTTTCGGTCTGCCCCGTCCAGCATCGATGGCAAGTTTGACCAGGATAGCGAGGTTGTCGTCGAGGTCCTCCAGCCCACTGACATATCCTCCGCCTCGACTTCCTTCAGAAACCTACTCCAGAGCGGTAGCTTGATGACCGCGGTCCTCCAATTCTGTCTTGCGGGCGCATTCTGGTTGTACTACGGCGATCTCTCACCCCTTCTGCTACTCAGCATATCAATCTTGCTTATCGAAGCTACCGCCAGCCTACCCGTCTGGACTGCTCAGAAAAACGTTTCCTTTACCCGGAATAGTCAGAACGGCGCATACGCACTCATGCGCGACACCGACTCCCCACCCAGCCACATCTACATCATCCAGCCTTCCTCAACGGCATCCACCAACACCGAAGGCATGATCGCACGTCACGACACATCCACCAACGCCTCAAACCCCTGTATCTCACCCACCATCCTCATCGCCGGTGCCTTCTTGAGCCAAGCACTCCTTTACACCCAGCTCTCAGATAACGCAGCGATTGCTATGCTGATTATCATGTTCGTTGGTACGATTAGTAACATTGCTATCGTTGCTGCGCCGCGCGTGCCACATGTCGATGATATGGAACTAAGATCTGTGGGTGTGATGAAGGGGGAGGGGAGTGTCGTGGAGGTTTTGAAGGAGGTTGAGGCGGCGTTCGAGGGGTATGGAGATGTGCTACTGAAGCAGTGTTTCCCTGAGATGATTGGGAAATGGGAGCGTGGAATGGAGAAGGGGAGGATGGGGGAGATGGACTAAAGACAGTCGAGGTAGTCTTGTTTCGCAAGGTCGCAAAGTGCATGTCCGGTATCAGAGCTGTTAGTAACAAGCCCATCGATCACACGCAACGAATCCAGACAGCAGAGCACCTGAAATCATAACATCTTAAATTCACGTCCCCGTCCCCGTCCCCCCTTTCTTCCCTCCCCCCAAAAGCGGTAACCTAACCCTTCGAAACACCATCCCCCCACCCCTCTGCATCTGCGCCACGGCATCCCCCAGCAGCACCCGTATCGCCCCTTCCAGCCTCTTATCCTTCTTCCTTCGCATCCACAACAGCACTATACCCAATATAAACACATCAACAGCAACATGCTTGAAACACGCCCATACCCATCTCCACACGCCCCGAAAGAGCTGATAGTGTACTGAATGCGCAAAGAGCCTTCTTGCTTCTAATTGTTCGCGCAGGGCGGCGACTTCGGCCGTCATCTTCATGAGCGATTGCTCAACGCGTTTCCGCCATTTCTGGTCTGCGACTGATTCTTTCGGGGAGCTGTCTTTCGCTACGCCGGCACCGGTTCCAGCAGCGGGGGCGGGTGTGCTGCCGAAACCGGGTATGGGCATCTGAATTGGTTTGCCCAGCACACCCATGCCGCGATTCCGTGGCGCGGGCGTGGGCGTCTGTATAGGTATTGGTTCTGCGCGGATCAACTGCTGTAAATCGGTTTGTACGCCTGCGTCTTCGAGTTCGGGGGCGGCGTCGTCGTCGTCGGGGTAGGATGTAGGATTGTATTGGCTATCTGGGGCGTCGACGAAGACCTCGCCTTCACGCTCGATTTCCGCTTCTTCTTCCTCGAGCTCTTCTTCGGATTGCGACATTGGTGATTTTACGCGGAGGGGCACGGCGCGGCGTTCGAGGTCTTCGGACTCGTTTCGAGGGCGGTCCATGTCGTTGCTGCTGTTCATGGCTGCGCGGCCACTTTGGCCTAGCTCGTGCTGAGAGTAGCCGGGGGTTATGTGGTCGGAGGTACGTAGCGGCGAGGAGGAGGATGAGGAGGGCACGTTGGATTTGACTTGGTCCCAGACGAATTCTAGCTCGGCGACTAGTTCTCGGGAGTCGGGTGACGGAGAGGCGTACTTGTGCATGGTGTCGATGAGGGTGGTGATGTAGCGGCGTTTGGCTTCGGTGCGGGAGAGGCCGTTCTGCTGTTTCCAAGCGTCCCTGGGAATGTTAGTTTCTGTTCGTGTATGCATTCCATGATAGGGACTCGAATGGTGCTATGCGCCAAGTGACATACCATTTCTCCCGTGCTCGTTGCGACTGGTCATCATTGCCTCTTGGACATTCCATTATACCGTCGACGTCGCCCTCTGTTTTGGTCAGCTCTGGTCGTAGCACAGTCCCCCTCCGCATCATTTCCCTCGAGGCAACGTACCCATGGCCTGCTTATACAGTCCATACAAGCGTAACCTGGTCGCAGACGGCGGTTTCTGCGACCCCGTCCGTATCTTGTTGACAGTGTTGAGCGCATGGCTAAAGACTCGATCTATATGCCTTATTGTCAGCAAAAGTTCCTCCCATCTCATCTCACCCCAGATAAACCTACCAACCGAGTCCGACATTACGAGCGTGGATATCGCGCCCCCATAAACGGGAATCGGCGCATTGATTGGTGTGGCGGTGCGTGAGAGTGCCTCAAGAGCAGGCACAAGGTATTCAGCCAGGCAGGAGCAAAAGACAAGGTAAAGTACAGCGGCGCAATGGATGGCGGACGGCGTGCATGATGCGATGACAATGCGGAGCCGTGTGGAGATGGCATTCGTTGTCGCGCGACCCTGGCGCTTTGGCCTCGGCTCTTCCGGAGCGGGCGCGCTTGCCATGTGGCAGTGCGGTCGGCCGCCGTTTCACGTGTCAACACACTTTGATTGGATTCACCGCACTTTGTTGTCTTGCTGATATACTTAAAGACGCTTTGTCCTTCTGTCACGAATCACAGCATACGCGATAACGGTCGTGAAGCTGCTCACTTCTGGAGCAGGGATCTGGGCGACGAATCGGGCAATGTTTTCCGCACGCGATTCCTGGACGAGACGAGATACATTTGCGACGCAAGACTCGTTGACTCCCTGTGGCTCCTATTCCCATCTGTCTCAAGTCTGACATTACATCTCACAATCGCATCTACCAGCTTGCTACCACTGGCTGCACATCGCTCGTGAAAGACCACACGCCTTGGGAGTTGACAGCATGAACAATCGCCTTCCTCGCTACATCCTGTCTACGCGTGGTAGTCGCAATCTGAGTCGAGGTTCCCTGGCATGACTATTAGTATCGCCCTTCGAAGACGATTGACCAACTCACCTGTACGCGGGCACCCCTCACGTTCGTGTAGGGCCTGCCAACTTCATCCGTACCAGTCGGGTACTCCACAATGACGGAATACGCAGTCGCGCTGGAAACCGGCGACCAGCTGACCTGGTAGTCTCCAGCATCATTGCTCCTGCGCAGAGATACGCCTGCAACCTTGGCCGGACGCGAAACACCACCGACCGCGCGTATCTGCCCCGTTGTGTAGCACCCATTTGACGTGCCAGAGGTGGTGTAGAACCGCCATGAGACAGGCGCCTGTCCGTTCTTGCAAACACTGCTGAACTCGTGCACAGCTGTGAACGCCGAGTTGCCAGGGTACTTAGTGAGGAAGTTGTTGCCAAGGTAGGGGTAGAAAGTATCGCTGACACCGAAGCTGTCGAAGTCGCGAAAGGGCTTCAGTTCAGCACGACTGCCGTCCGCGTACGTGGCTTCGAATGCCCATTGCACTCCCACGTATCGGTCTTTGTTAAAGGTGAGTTGCGCAGTGCAGCCACCGAGATTAAAGGCCTTGTAGTTGCTGGGAGCTACACTGCCGGTATACGGGTAGCTCCAGGATGAACTGCATTGTTGGCGCGGTTCGAGAGCAAGAGGCGATGCTGTCGTAGTGGTCACCAGGAGCGTAGAGAGAGTTGCGAGAGTGAGCTTCATGATGATTCTAAACGAACAAAGTGAACAACTACGAACACGTCAACCCGGGGAACCACTCTCCTAAATATCACTCCTCCTCCACCCTCCCAATTGACATCACCAGCGGGTCCAATGCACCAAAACTCTACTTATACAACTAGACAAGTCTTGGAAACTACATTACCCGCCCACGAGGAGCGCAACCCGCCAATTCATATAGCAGCCAAGACGGGCGTGTACAACTTTCAAGCGTCTCCAAGACGGACGGAGACAACACCCATAGGGGTATGCGGTTTAGCTGGTGATCATCTGCAGGCCGCGAGAAGCCTAGCTTTCTTGGCGCTGCAGGTCAATCTTCGTATTCGGTCTTGAGGCTTGGGCTTGGCTAGGGTGATCTGCGTTGGGTACGTGCGACGACTGAGACCATTTTTGCTTCGACGTTTCCTGGGTTTGAGTTCGATGTTCATGAGTGGTTTTACGAATATGTCTGACTCTGGGCAGTGCAGCAGGTTTAAGCCGGGCGGTGTATGTGGTAGGATTTCGTTTCCGGGTTTGGCACAGACTATCACTCGATGGTTTCATTCCACTGACAAGACTTGGTTTTATTCCTCGATAAAGATCCACCATCTGTAGCAGCTATCCTTTCATCAAGACCAGGATCTGAACCATACATATCACGAAAGTCACTCCATCGCCATACGTCGCATATCACGGACGATCATCGAAGACTGAACCTTTGTCGAATCCACTTCGAGAGCAGCGTCTTCCCAGTGGACTTTGAAGACCCAAAAGCCAACCTAAGGACACTTCCACCCACAGTTATCCCTGCAGAAATAGTTGCTCGCCTTGCAAGTATCAGAGCGGCAAGTAGTATCGCAGGTAGCCGGGTTGAACCAGCAGGGCCAAGACTAATCATCAATCACCCGAGTTAGTTCAATACTTCCACGGTGGATTGTGGGGATTGGGGAAGCGGAATCGAACTTACACGAAGGCAGTGCTCGAAGTTGTCTTTGCACTGGTCGCAGGTGGGGACTTGGACGGGCGGGCCGGTCTCTTGGGGGCTGGCGATGGGGGCGGCGCTGGGGCTGGCGTCGGGGTTGGTGATGGGGGTGGCTGTTGTGAGGGCCGCGATGGCGAGGATGAGGGGGGTTGTGAAATGCATTGTGGCTAGGTGGGTGGGGGTGGTGGGTTGTTGGGGGGATTGAGTTGAGGGTGGGTGAGGAGAGGAAGTTTCTTGGAGCAGCGGATTGGGGGGTTTATATATACCCAGGGCTGAAGGAGTTGGGTTAGGCAGCCGGAGGGGTTGAATCACCTTCATGGATCACCTGGGGTACGGATCTGCGTGGCGATATAGGAATGGTGATAGTGAAAGAATGGGAGGCTTGATACGATCAGTGGGGTGAGGGTGTGAGATTGTTGCACGGGTGGTGAGCTCTTTTACGCGATTTTATGTCGACGAGCCACTCACGACGCCCGCAACACACACGAGATACACGATGACTGAATCCGCCAATTAAAAAATGAAAGGGATGAGAAAGAGGTTATGTCAGGGGCGTTGATTCAACAATTGTAGTAAGGATACGGTTACATATTCCAACAACCGCATATAAGGAGCGCTCTCCACTACACCAACCCGCTACCTCAGACTTCCATTCCATCCTTGCCAACCAGCCTCCGTCTCATTCCTCCCTCAATCTCACTCTCTCTCTCTCTCTCTAATCTCCACTACCCTCTCACACTCTCAAACCCCAGCCTAAGGGCACTTCCACCCACAGTGCTCCCTGCACGCAGCGTCGTTACGACAAACGTCGTTGTGGCAAGTTATGATGCACATCCTGGGATTGATCCAACAGACCCAAGTCTATTTCCACACACAAGATTAGTTCAAATTAGTAAGAAGAGATGGGAAAGGGGGGTGTACCTTCTGGCAGTCCTCGAACTCCTTGTTGCACTTGTCGCAGATGGGGTCGCGGGCGACGAGCGGGTTGGCCGAGGTGATGGCGTTGGCGGAGGGGGAGGTGACGGGGTTGGCGGTGGTGAGGGCCGCGATAAAGAGGAGGAGGGGGGTGGTGTACTTCATTGTTGGTGGGGTGGGTGTGGTTTGGATTGGTGTGTGGTTTGGTGTGTAGTTGATGGAATTGTGTCGATGGTGGATGGAGAGAGGGAGGTTCTTGGGGCAGCGCATCGTGAGTTTATATGCACCTTGGGTGCCCAGGTAGTGTTCTAGGTAGCGATATACTGACATGGTAATGAAACAATGTAGGTGTTGATACAGAATAGTGGGTAGAGTAAGGGTGTGGAATTGGCGCATGGGCGAGCTATTTCACGCGACAGAAGCACGTTTATGTCAGGGGCGCTATTGCATGGTTGTATTAATCATGAGCACATATTCCAACATCCGCATGTAAGGATGAACTCAAGAATGTAGAACTATATGTAAGGATTACTAGATGTAAGGGAACAGAAATTACACGTAAGGACGGCTACATGCAAAGATGACGTAATATATAGATGAACACAACAACTCAGAAGCTCAATTTGCAGCTCTCTACTGAACTGCTAAATACATTATTAAAAGCAATATGAGAATTAATGGCGATCTTGCTACAACAAGAGAAGACATCCCAACACATGCGGATCTGTTTGTGCCTCCTTTCATTCACTCGGGGTTTTGGAACTTACCCGAGCTCGTGGGCACTCTATAACTCGAATTCGGCTGTTCCTCATCTCCTCACTCTCGACGCGTTCCATCAGTATCGGGTCTGCACTCCGAGTTGCATGTGGGTCACGTCAGCTGACCACGGTAACAATGAATGCCTTCACTTTCGACTATCGGCGACGTGGCTGTGGACGTATCGAAATACATGATCAGCAGCTTTGAATGCAGACAGGCGAGGGATTGAAAGAAAGGGAGAGAAGCTGGGGATTGATTGCGCTCATCTGAACGCGACTAAGGTCCTCACAGTGAAGAGACATCAGAAAGGTAGTGTCAGGCGAGGAGAGAATGTTCGAGACGCGTCACCTTTGCTCAGGTATATTCACATTCACATTCATATTCACATACACATTCACATTTAGGGATTCAGTATGTGTAAGTATGTAGTTGACATTCATCTTTAGGTTAGGTTACCAATGATGTATCATGCTACCAAGTCTCGTTCATGTTCAGTTCCCAATATTCGCAATGATGACAAGCATTCAGCCAAGACAGATTCTCATCCCAGCCTCCATGCTACCCGTTGCCTTGCATGCCTCACTGATGTTCATCCACTTCCGTGTCGCCCGAGGTGTGTACCTACGCCCACATGTCGCAGGGGGCATGGGTGCATCGACCGCAAGGCTTCGTCTCGCCCGCAGGTACGTACTTGCAGACATCGTTGGTGCCACAGTCGTAGAAGCACTTCTGCCATTCAGGACCTTTGAACTTGCCGTCCTCAAGCTTGTCCTTGCATACGTCCTATTTCAATTAGTTTCTGGGTTGAACATCAAAGACTACAAGTGCGGGGCTGTGGTAACTTACTTTCTCGCAGTGTTCAAGGGTGTAGATGTCGCACTTCTTGCACAGCCAAGATTCCTCTTGCTTGTCGCCGCCGGCGAGGACGAGGGCGGAGGCAGCTGCCAGAATGAGGATGGAGAGCTTCATGCTTGGGAGTGGGTTGATGTTGATGGAGTTGTTGTGGTTGATAGAGTTTGTTTCGTGGTGAGGTGGACGTTGAGTGTTTTGAGTGTTTGATCGTTGGTGGAGGAGCGAAGAGGAGAGAGGGAGGATGGGCGGGATTATATAACCGTGGGAAGAGCAGGGAGAAGCGGAGCTCTAGGTACCTAGATGGGCAGCTGCGTAACTCGCGGTGAGGGAGCGGCGACCCGCAGTGAGTGAGAGATACCTAGATAACGCGCGGTGAGGGAGCGGCAGCTACTTCGCAGCTGCTGGAGTTGCTGCAAAGCCGAGAGTCAAAGGTCTGTGCCCAGCCAATCTCTCTCACCTGAGATAGGCCATGGGTATTGGCGAATGCGTTGTCAGTAACAGAATCTCTGAGTTACCGGATAGTGGCGGTTTCGTGCATGAACAGCAGGAGCTTCTTGATCAGAGAAAAGCAGTGACATTACTCTACGAGCCGATGAAGAGAGTAAGACTGAAACATCTCTTCAGTCAGGAATGGAAGTTGCTCGGCGCAACGTAACCCAAGTCTCATATCTTCTGCTTGACCAGCCATCAAAGCGCATCGTCGTCACAACCAGTCTAGCACTTCCATATCCCATGAGACTGCCAGCGCAAAGCATTTCGAAAGTGCATCGCCCCATTCCGGTTACCGCTCCACCCCGTCGACCTGGTCTCAATTTCCCGTAACGGTTGGATGATCATTCCCCGGGCGGAACGCGGAAGGTTGGTTTTGGGTGCTTAGGTTTCTCAATCCATCCATTACAGTTCAAGTAATCATACTGGGCACACCAGTTTACACACCAATCGCCAATTGTGCCTGATTTGCACACATAAGTTTGGCACTGCAACGAGCACTCCTCGTTGAATATGAACGAAGGGCAACGATCCTGTGAGTTATGTCAGTGACTGGGTAAGTTTGTGTTGGAACATGATGACTTACGGCCATGCATCCGTGATACATTTCATTGCAGGTGTCGCACGAGTGCGAGAATTGGAATTGGCTTTCTGAGGCGAGAGCGGCGGTGCCGAGTGCTGCGATGATGATGGTGGTGATCTTCATGTTGACACAGATGTGGTAGATGGGTCTTGTGGAGGGTTTGAAGATGGGCCGGGTGGTAGTGTTGGTGTCGAGTTGAAGGGAGGGAAGACGACAATTCGATTTTTGAGTATGCACGCATTATATATGCTGTGTCTCTAGGCGAGCATGCTGGAGTATCTGCATTGGCACTCACACGTAGTGGTAGCGTCATTGGTGCTCAACAAGAACTCGCCGTGGAGCATACATCATTGGTGTGGAGTCTCGTCTCAACAGTTATGAATGCTGGTCTTTGTCCACCTCGTTTGCTGATTACCGTTGGTGCCAGAGTTTCGCGTTCGAGGACCCCATTCGTATCACAGGGACGCTGCTCTCGTGGCAACGAAGTGGATCCGCATTTAGTACCATTGTAGATTGCAGTCTGATGGAGATTTATTATTGATGGATGATGACAAGGATGCTTCTAATCACCGAGATCTAATCGCAGGAGAGATAACCTCTTGAGGCAATCGCGCATCCTACCAAACCCAATCGTTACACGTCCGCAGTGCCCCTAAGACATCCAGAACAATTCGCGAATGGTTACCCGATAATCCCTCGTTCTCTGACCAGCCACCCCACGCCCCTACGCATGATGATGCCAATGCGCCTCCCCGAACTTATCGAAAGTCACCTTGCACTGACGCCGAACACACGGACCATAATGATTCTCCATCAGATCCACGCATTTCCGCTGACTCTCGTAGAACTGAGGGATATCGGTTGGCCTGTCCAATTCCCAGTTATAGCTGTTCACGTATCTCTGTTTGGGGTTGGGTTAGCTATGTACAAGCGTGTGGAAAAGTTGTTGGGGAGAGGAGAAAGTACGTACGTCCATGCATTCGTGATATCTGACACCGCACCAGAAGCAAGCGGGAAGAATAGACCCTAACCCTCTGGGCATGGCGTCGCTTGAGGGTTCGACATCGCTAGAGGTAGGGACGTCGTACAGGGGAGGGGCGGCGAGGGTTGCGGTGGTGAAGAGAGCGATGAGGGCGAAGGTGAACTTCATCTTGGTGACTTGTGGTGTGGATGTTGGGGTGTTCTCTTCAGATGCAGATCGATCTGCGATGAGAGCTATATATTCTTCTGCTAGTTAGTCCACATCAGTGTGAGCTACCAGTTTTCCATAAGCGTCTTGGTCATCCACTCGCACAGCGATAACGCAGAGCGAGCAGCGGGCCATTCCCAATTTCTGCAACACGTGACATTCCATATTTCAAGGCTTTCCGCAGAGGAGTCACCACAAGGATCAAAGATCCGGTCATACGTAGTCGATCGTAGAGGGCGTCGTGGTGAAGAATGGTAGATGAGGCAGGTCTTTTGTCTCAACAGCAATTTTCTCCCGCGCCACATGAATCCTTGGAGCAGGACAACGGTATAATACCATCGGCACGAATATGAGTATTGGCGTGTGATGCGCAAAGCTGTGGTCGGTTGAGAAGTTCCGACGAATGACAGGGATGGCATGGTGGAACTGTGGGGCTGGGCCATGAATCCGCAACCAGCCAACACATTAACAGCACAGGCAGCCGAGACGCGAACATAGCCGCCTTACAGTAGCACACGGGTTCGAAAGATAATAACTATGCGAATAGAATCTGATAAGCTAAGTAAGGCAACACGTTTGAATGGTCTTGAGTTGATGAGAACATGGTCACACACCTCTCTTCCCTAATGACTCTCACTGTCCACCCCTTCTTCGTCCGGAACACAACTTCTGATCCTCAACATTATCCAACAACATTTGGGAAGACTCCACAGGCTCTGGATCACCGTGTGTTGACTGGCGCGTCTTATCACACACGTACCATACACCCTCTCTGATCTAGACCCTGAGACTCCACCGAGGGTTCCACCTAGAACTAGACTTTGTGGGGTATACCCATTCGACACTATTGCTATTTGCCCTAACCAATAGTCGGTCCAGGAAACCCACGATGTAAAGACGGAGGTGTGAAAATTTGGCCGACGCTCTTCAGTTTGGTGCTGGAACAGGCGTAGGTCGCTGAAGTGGGTCCATTTAGTCACCGGGTACAACGCAGATACGGCGTTGAGATCTGGGCTTTATTGTCTGTGGCGTGAACGCCACATCACCCACTCTCCTAATGGAGGTTTCACGTTGAGCTATCCTTGTCCATAGGCGAACTACAACCGCCCACGCTGGCGTCTTCATCGTCGACGACAGACTCGTCATTCACAGCTACAGTGGGAGCGCCAGGAGCTGCGCTACTCGTTTACGCAGCATTACCCGCTGGTTGTTTCTGATAGGATTGCCGAGGTTTCTCTTAGTCGTGACCGTAAATGCTGTCGACATCGCTGCTGTACTGGTTGTCATCGCCTCCCGGAGTTTGCGAGTTTTGATCTCTAACCGCATCTTCATCTTGCGCTGCGGGCCTACTTGGATGTGTTGTCGCACTGAGCTGTGGCAATGGCTTCTGTGGTACACTCAATCCATCAAGGGGTAGTAACTGGGCCCGAAAGCTTGACGCTGTCTTCGGAGTAAATCCGGCCGTAGGCTGTGCAGGGTCGTAAGCTGGTGGAGTAGTCGATGAATTACTTGATTTCAAACCCGCCGAAGGCTGCATGGGCATGTACGCGGGCGAGGTGACCGGGGAATTTGTAGTCGATGTGCCTGCTGTAGGCTGTGCAAGATGGCGGGCGGACGCCGGTTTGAGCAAGCTTCTTGCGTTTGATAGTGCAGTGTCGGGCAGCTTCATGGCTGGGTAGCTTGGACTCCGAGGAGGCGTTGTTGCATTACCACTTTGACCGCGTGGTGTAGTAGGGCTTTCAAAACTCGGTACACTTGCACAAGGAGACCTGCCATTGATCTTGAGCGAAGTGACTGGGTTATACGAGCGTGCGTAACCTCCCGGTGCGAAACCACCTGCTAGCTGTGAAGGCGGTGGTGCCCTGTAGTACGAAGATGGGGAAGTAGGATTCGAGCTGAATATTGACGGCGTTTTGAGTGTCTTTTGTGTAGTCGGACGAGTCGGAAGGCCAGAACTAGCGACCGGAGATGGTCGCGCCGGCGATGGGGTTGTCGATGTGTTGTTGGCCTCCTTCAATGTCTGGAATACCGGAAGGTCCAAGACCTTTTCTACATCATTCTTCTCAAAACGGGCTCCTTCCTCAGTATCAAATGAGACTGGACCTCTAAAGCGGCCTTTCTTCGGAGTATTAGCTCGCGCACCTGAGTTTTCCTTCTGGGGAGTTGCTGGACCATCTGGCGTTTTCTGCGGCGCTTCTGAATCTGAATCTGAGTCATCAGAAACATCTCGAGCTGTTCTCTTAGATGCTTTGTTCAGTTCATCCAACTGATCCTTTGCCACTTCTTTGGCAAGCGTGTCCAGTTCATCGTCATTGATTTCGCTCGATAACGCGCTACCGTCGTCAGATCCAGCCGGAGAAGGATCGCCTCGAGGTTCAGCACCTTCAGCATCTGGATCAAACCATGCCATCAGCTCCTGTGCATGCTTGTAGTCGTCGTGACTTTCTCCTCGCATTTCGTATGTGTCCATGGGAACCTCTCGGAAGACCTGACCTTGTCGCCCGGTTAGTTCGTCTAGCGACTTGATGCCGGCTGATCGATTTTCCGCATGTTCAGGGTTCTCCACGATCTTGCGGTCCTCCCGAAGTTGTACCAAGCGTGTTCTGGGTCTGATGGCTGTGAACTCATCTGGATGTTTGTATTCATGTTCAGCGTTGTCCGGGCCTTTGTTGAAGTCACTGTCCCATACTCGCTGAGTTCCTAGATCTAACGGGATTTGTGGTTTGTTATTGTTGTCAGTCTGATCAACACTGAGATTGACATTCGAAAGCCCTGCGATGAGTTCCTCATGGTCTTCAGTAGCTTCGTAGTCTTCAAGGTTGAGGTCGTCTCCGTGGGTTGGTGGCGGTGGAGCTAGATCATCTTGTGCCGGCTCTTGATCTTCTCCAAAGGCCTTTGCAGCAGTGGCACGAATGATCTCTCGATCTGACACATCGTCATCCTGTTCAGCTTGCGTAGCTTCCCCAAATTCGACACTCAAGTTCGCGTTCGAGAATGGGTCAAACGCATCTGGCGCATCCTTAAGAGGCCCAGGAACGATGACCGATGGCTGCTGGGTTGGTGAAAAATAGTCATCGCCAGCGTTTCCAGGAAGATCATCGAAACTTTCCCCGTCTGTCGGGTACTGTTGAGGTTCAGACATGGGAGGTGAAGTCTTGATAGGCCCATTCTGCGCCTCATACGCATCAATATCAGCGAATATGTTTTGTTCTGCCTTTTCGCCGTATTGCTCATCCTCAGGAGACAGATACAGACTTGTTGGTATTCCGCTGTGTTGTTCTAGTCCCTCGAGAGGCATCAGCTGTCTCCTCATGTCGTCAGCGGTGGTGGTTGGCGTTTGCTCATTGTCGAAACCAGAGTTGGCGATCTTGTCGAAATCGATGCCGTCCAAGTTGATGTTGCCCAGATCGATGTTGTCCAAATTGATATCGTCCATATTGCTATCGTCCATGTTGGTATCGTTCATATTGGTATTGTCCAAATCGACATTGAATAGGTCGGACATATCAACATCTCCATCGTCTTCGGCCGTGACAGTAGTATCAAGGGCCACGGGCGCAGTCATACAAATGTCAGCAAGATTGAGAGCTCTAGGCTGCGCTGATGAATCGCCGCCATTGCCGCCATCGCCCTCATTACCGTCGTTGCCATCATCCATCTGATCGTTGTTGTCAGCTTGGTTGTTCAAAGTCTGACCGTCATCGTGGTTATGATTATGGGGATCCCTCTCACCGTGATGGTCCGAGTCGCTCGAAGACTCGTCGATCCCCTCCATAGGTCCTGAGCCAGCGGAACCTGACGGCGATGGAGGATTCGCGCCTCCACTACCGCTCGATGGATCGAAAGGAGCGGGTGGATCATCACTTCCACCTCCACCTCCACTACCGCCGCCGCCATCTCCACCGAAACGACCACCAGGGCCAGGCGGCGGATCTCCACCATCACCGGTAGACCTTCGAGCCGCAGCTTCACGCTCTCTCCTCATTATGGTCATCATACTAGGACCCCCTAGCAACCTGTTACGCCACTGTTCTGCGGAGTCTGGATGCGTTGGGTCTGTGGGTCGAGCGGCAGGCCGATTGTAGATGGCAGGAAGGGCGAATTGCGTACGAAGTTCCTCTTCTGTGAACATAGGCGGCTCAGTCCTGCTGGAAGGAAGCGAGCTGAAAGGGGCCCAAGAACGACCATTTGCTGTGCCGGGAGCTGGTTGCGAGAGTGAGCCGGGGAGATTTGCATTGTCACTAGTCGTGGGCGTGGCTACTGGAGCTTCATCGTCCATGCCTTCCATTGGCATATCTGTTGGCGAAGAAGATTCTTTATCGGGGTTAAGAGCATCGTGCTTCGGAGCGCCGGGTACCGGTGTATTGCCCGAATCATTGTCATCTATATCAAAAGCGTTGCCATTGTTGTTGTCATCGCCGTCACCAGGCGCGGGCGCTCCACCAGAAGCAACCTTGTCGGACGTCATAGCCTTCTTCTGCTCAGCCTCTCTTTGCACCTCCTCGCGGTGCCTCTCAAGTGCTGCAGCAATCTCGGCATCTATAGGACTCGCTGGCTGTAGCGGAGCTGATGTGCCTATCGTAGGACTCCCACCGAAATCGAACTCTTCTTCGCTTTCGTCTTCGTCTTCGTCTTCATCTTCGTCTTCGTCTTCGTCTTCGTCTTCGTCTTCGTCTTCGTCTTCGTCTTCGTCTTCGTCTTCGTCTTCGTCTTCGTCTTCGTCTTCGTCGCTTTCTTCCACACCTTCATGCTCATCGTCTTGCTTATCTTCCTCTTGTTTCTCTTGCACTAGACCAGCGGCTGGGACTTGGTGATCTGGTGCATTGACGGGCTCCGAAGTAGGGTCCTCGAGAAGCGAGTGCTTGGCGGGTGTAGCGAGTTCCGTCATCTCAATCGGAACAAATGTCATGGGCGGGGATCGTCCTTGCGTCTCAGATTCCGGTGCGTTGACTACGATGGTAGGAAGATCAAACGAGATGTCAAGCGATGGCGAAGGCTCAGTGTTGTCCGTGGCAGACTTCGGCACATCAGTAGGTGTTGTGACGGGAGTTGGTACAATCAGAGAATTAGAGGAACGAGGAGGTGTCGCAGGAGCAGCGTTAGTTGAGGGTGTATTCGTGGCTTGCGGAGTAGGAGAAGCAGGAACTATTGGTGGGGGAGACGCTGTGATCGTGGGTGTGGTCGTTGCTGGAGGAGTAGGCTCGAACAGAGGAGTACGTTTGAACTCGGCAGCTGGCGTGAGGGTACGCACAGATGCCGATGTATTGGCAACTACCGGTATCGCTGGTACCTGGGCCGCAGGGCTTGGAGTGGCTTTAGTTGTCGTCTCTGACGGGATAGCTGGGACTGTTTCCTCATGTTTCTCAGCTTCAACAGTAGGTCGGTGCTGTTGCTCAGTCTTGGTAGGCTGAGATGTCATCGAAGAATCAGCAGCTGGACTTTCACTGGCGTCATTTGACGATTGGGGCTCCTCGTGTTCTACACCGCCCGCCAGACCAGATTGCTCTAGGAAGTCCTGGTGCTCCTGCTCAGCAGCAGCTCTAGCTGCCTCAATAGCCTTCTCTCTTGCCGTGCGCGCCGCTTCACTGTCGAATAGCCAATCCATCCAGCGCTGTGGCCAAGGAAGAGATGCGTTTGTCTGTGTCCATGCATCTGCGGTAGGCGTCTCAGTCGGATACACCTCCGTAGGCGTTTCCACAGGAGATTGCATAGGCGAAGCTTGTTGTTGAGTGCGCAACGCATCTACCTCATCTGGAAGCCCTGATAAGTCCTCATCCAAAAGATCAACTGCTTGGCTGTCGCTGGGTGACTGAGGTGCCTGCGTCGGCTGTGCGTCTGGAAGCTGATTGGGAGTATCAGGTTCTCCAATCACGGGGTTCCTTAGCTCTGACTCTTCGACGTCATTGATAGGAATGCGAGTTTGTGCTGCGGGAGGGCTTGGTGGCCCCGAGGCAGGAGCCGCAACTTCATCCGGCAAATTAGGGAGCGGTTTATTGGGAATATCTCGAGCCACGATCGGATCCGGCCGCCAGTAGGCTAGAAGTAGAAGTATGACAAGAACAGTCGCAAAGATGATGCCATAGTCCTGAGTGCAAGCAAGGACCCCGTTTGTGCCGAAGATGTACATGATCATGAAACTAGTTGCGAATGTGAACGACGACCGGACCTTATGTGCGGGATATGCTTGAGCGGCCATGATCCAGCCTACGGTGCATACACTGGTGACTGCGACAATGATCGTCGCACGCCATACCCAGTGGTATGCTAGGCCTTGGCACCAATTGCTGAGGCAGCGTGTACCCATGGATGTTACGACCGGCTTGATTTGTGCCCTGTACAACAAGCTCAGGTTCATTGAGATCCTTTCGAATGCTGAAGAAGTCGTTTTCTGGGTGGTTGTAAAGAAATTTGAGGTAGCATTCTTGACGGACTTGGTAGCCCATGCCGGCGAGAGGGTAGTGGGTATACGAGAGCTCGTATCCCTTTTCGTCGAGGTAGCAGTGTACACATAAGAGCTCGTTGCGCGTTCCTGCGAGGTGGCATTGAGTTTATAAGAAGGCGTGACCCAATTCCGTAAAGCTGTCGTGGTTACAGCAGTCCATGACGTCGACCCCTTAACTGGGACTGGAATAGACTTAGTACCAGTAGTAAACCCCTTAACTGTGTGAGCAGCTGCATCCGACTTCCTTTCAGTCCAAGGCTGTATGGTGTGCCATATCGCCGTGAAAAGAGACTGGAACAATGGTATGAATACAAACGTCAGGGCGAAGACCGCGATCAAATTAGCGACTGGGCCAGTCCATGCTGGTAGCAGCCCAAATACTGTCTGAGGGCCGAGTGTGATTGTTGCGAACACCCAGCGAAGACACCCGCCGACAGTCTGTGGGTACCACGGGAAGACAGCGCGACCTCTGACGATGAGCATGAACTTGTACTGAGCCCAAGCTTTTACAATCCGGAGTTTCGCTATGCAGATCCGAGAGACTTCAATGGTGCCGTCCACGAGGGAGTCGATATAGGAGAGGCCTACAAGCTTGAGCACGACAGCAAAATGACTGAAGGGCGGGGCAACGCCGCCTCTGAAAAGTCTATCAGCGCACAAAGATGGCTGGTCTATATGGATGAGGATGTATACTACTATTGCAACCGCAGCGTAGTATCGTATCCAGGTTCGCGCGGCGATGACTGATCGGTATGAGCCGCCAACTACGAGATTTAATATAGTGAACGCCTCTTCGCGATAGATGGAAAGAACGTGTATCGTTGGCACGCTGACCAAGATAACAGCCAAGTCCTGGACGTAGACACTGAGCCAGATGACAGTTATCACAACAGTGAAGCCGATGCAACAACGAATTAATGTCTCTTTCCGGTGCGGGATGACAGCAGGCGCGCTAGGCGACATATCCTCGGTCTCAGACATGTCTTCATCCCCGCTTAACTCGCTGTCATCTTCTTCGTGGTGAACAGCTTCGGGGGTCCTTCGTCCGGCGAAAAGGAGGAAATAAATCGCAATTCCAATGAGGGTGGCGTACAGCGCCCGGTCTATGATGAAGTAGTCGGTTTGCTGTTTTCCCAGGAAGTCGGCTACCGCTTTCTGCCACACATTGTAGGATACAGATCCGATGCTGCGTGCGTATGCTACAGATTTGGAGTATGGCAATGTTGGCAAGCGGAATTCCGCGTAGGCGAGATATCCAACGACAAACATGTATGCATTGCGCACCATAAATACCACCATTTCCTGGAAGTCCAGGTCATCTTTGTACAGATGTTCGCATACGGCGAAGAGAATGGATGGCACATATCCCACCACGATATCCGCCATGGTGATAGGGCTACTGTAGTAGGACCGCTTGGCCGGCTTTTGATCTGCTTGCTGTGCGGCGTATTTATCATGAACCGCTCGTCGAAAGTCATTCCAGCGGGAGAATTGGGATTTGGCAAATGACGGCGAATCTCGAAGTGGTTTGCTAGCTGGCTTGTGTTCTCTCGGCGTAACGGTGCTGCCCTTGGTGCTGGGCATAGGTGCACTGGGAAGTGTCTTAGACGACGACGAATCTTGGAGTGATTTCCTAGCCGCCTTTTGTCTGTAATGTGTAAAGGCTGGCTTATGTTCTGTCATCTTCGAGATACTGCTCCGGGTGCTTTTGCTAGCCGCATGTTGCCTATAATGTGTAAAGGCTGACTTATGTTCTTTGAGGGCAGAGTCAATGCTCGCAGTGCTAGATAGAGGAGCACTGGAAACTGTCTTTGATCTCTGCGGAATGGTAATGGTTTCAAGCGAATAGTCTATGATCTCATCGAACGACTGTGAGGTGACCGGTAATTGTTCCACCACAACTGGAGACGTGGTCCGAGAAGGCAACTTGCCAATGGTGGGGGAACCGGTCGATGTGACGTCTCTGGGTGTATCGCTGATGGTCGATTCTTTCGATGCCGCGGAGGATCGCGAGGCGTGCAGAAGCCTACTCATCCGGGCTTTGAGGCCTGCATTTGTAACATTGGAAGGTTTCGTGCCCAATACTGACGGTACCTCGTGGACCGGAATGCTCTTCTCAGAAGAAGTACTCGTAGTCTTCGCTAGTGAACGCTCTGTACTCTTGCTAGATATCTCCGGCAATGTATCTCGCGGAGTACTACGTTCCGAGGAGAGTTGCGATGAGCGACTCGCTCTCGAACGAGCAGAGCTTTCCGTGACAGATTCGGAGATGTCCTTGATTAATTCGGAAGGCGAGGAAGTGTCCAACACTTCAACTTTGGCCTGCTGTTCGACAGTGGAGGGTGTGTTGCAGGCTGGTGATACAGAACTAGTGACGGTGATAAGGGTAGGCCGGGGAACCTTGGTGACTATTGATTTCACGATTCCGGCTGCGTCTTCGATGGTGTGGACTGGTTTGGCGACAGATGTCGTAAAAGGCCTGGGTTTCTGATACCAAACCTTGGCCTGCTCAAAGTTTGGTATATAATGCGGCACAGCAGCAGCGACGGCACCCGCGGCGTAGATACCAGCTGCTACTTCAGGGTGTTGGTCCCACAGGTGCGCAAAGGCCTGCATTACAGCGCCAGGAAGGGCGTCCATGGTAGGCGAATTTGCTTGTGCGTCTAGAAGATATGTGTATCGTTATCGTATTCTCGAGGGTGTGAACACATGTGGTGCAATATCATGAGGGCGTGCCTTGTTGAGATGGGCGATGTATGGAGTGTCCCAAATCGGAGAAGACGGCAGACATGTAGCTGATGAGACAAAGCGTCCTCCCCAAGTCGCAAGACAAACAGAATTCCGAGTGAAAGGCCGCCACGCTAGCGTCAATGTGAAGTTCACATTGCCTTTGTCCGCCGAAAGAGAAAACTTCGGCGTTGTTGTGAGAAACAGGACAATGAAATCAAGAGCGTGCACTTCAGAGACCGATGCAGCTTTGCAACATGAGCGTAACTTATACTCAAACATGGCTCGGCGCACCAAATGGCGACCCAGTCATCGATGTCAGGGTATCGAGCCAGAGGAAGCCCTTCATCACTGGCAGGAGTTGTCATGCTCTCACTAGCCAGGAAGCCTGCGCATGGTCGGAGACGATGAGATCTGGGCAAACACGTGAAGCCAGCATCGAGAATGGATACGTCTGCCATAACAGACATATCACTTCACGACGTGGGCCTGTGTGCGACGGCAATCAGTTCCCATGCCCTTCCACCGATCTGCTCGGCGCTCTGCTCTTCGACAGTCCAGCCGGAAAAGCATGCCTTGTAGTCATCCCAATCCGACTGGGGACCTGCCCATATAATTCTCTCCACGCTGTCCTGGCCATACTGTGCGATGTATTCGCGTACTAGCCCAACGCGTCGCGGGTATACGAAAAGCCATGTCGTAGCCTCCGCCGCGAGCGGCTCAAGGAAACGTGTGCCGTGAACGATGCGATGGTTCGAGGAAGGCAAGAATTTGTTCGAGCTTGGTTCCACTTCAACTCCCATAACGTGATACGCGTAGGGTGTGGTGATAAGATAGCTTTCGAGGAGGCCGAAGCCGCTTCCGACGGATAGAGCAAGCGCGGGAGGCTGAGGAAGGAGCGAGGCGAGGTAGGCAATGAGGGTTTCGCTGAGAGCTAAACAGCATCCTGAATACGCTGTCGGTGAAGTCGTGAGTACTGGCAGTTCCGCGACGTCTTCTACTGGGTTTGATGCCTCATTGTCTGACGCGTCCACATCCGGCTGTATTGGTGGCAAGCGCGCCTCGAGACCCATGATTAGCAGAATTGCAGTTGGTCGCGCACGCAGATGCCAATGTGCATTGAGAGCGTGTGGACGCGATGCTAATACAATTCGGCTCCGTCGTGATTGTGAGTGATGACAGAAGGCTCGATGGTTCTTGACGCGACTAGACACGCATGCGGCTAAGCTTGGGAGCTATGGCCCATGACATATGCATATCACATGCAATGCACGAGGACGCCCCGCCCGCCATCACCAAGCATAGCTACAACCACCGACTCTACTGCATCTTGCGTCATCTCTTCCCACTGAAAGCTTTTGAAAGCTACGTGGCGCCACGAGAGCTATCATGGCCCGCCTCAACCCACTCTCCTTCACGCCTGGGCCAGTCATCTTCTTTACTACCATCATCTACGTGGGCCTCTTTGCTGCCCTGCTCGTTACCCACCTGACGGTACCGAATTATCCATCCAATCCGCCAACCGGCGTCAACCTCACAGAAGCTTGGGGCGACCTCCAGCACATTACCCGCCAGTTCCACCCGTACAACAGCCACGCGAACGACGATGTACGCAAATATCTGCTTGCGCGTATCAAGGCCATCGTTACTTCAAAAGACCTAGAAAAGGGCCAAGTCGAGCTCTTCGATGACCTAACCGCAAACGCCACATTTTCATCTGGCCGCACATCTATCTATTTTGAAGGCACTAATATCATTGTTGCAATCCGCGGTTCTGATGATGACGAACCCTTCAATGGGACTGAGCGCAGTCCGGACAACGGCGGCGTACTTGTCAACGCCCATTACGACTCAGTGAGCAGCGGGTATGGCGCAACTGACGATGGCGTGGGTGTTGTGACGATACTGCAACTTCTATCTTACTTCACAGAATCAAAGAACTGGCCCAAAAGAACCGTGGTACTGCTGCTTAACAACGGCGAAGAGGATTATCTCAACGGTGCCAAGGCTTTCATGCGGAACCCAATTTCTCAGGTCCCCCATACGTTCGTCAACCTCGAGGGAGCTGGAGCTGGCGGCAGAGCTACCTTGTTCAGAAGCACTGATACCGAAGTCACCCGCTATTACAAAAAGTCTAAACATCCTTTCGGAACAGTCGTAAGCGGGGATGGCTTCAAAAAGGGTTACATTCGAAGCGAAACTGATTACAAAGTCTTCCACGGCGAACTTGGGCTACGCGGCCTCGACATCGCGTTCATGGAGCCTAGGGCCAGATACCATACAGTGGAAGACTCCACACGTGAAACTTCGATGAATTCGCTCTGGCATATGCTTTCAGCAGCTCTGGCCTCAACATCCGGATTGGCTTCCATCACCAGTGACGAATTCAGTGGCTCCGAAAGCCTCGATAATGGTAGAGTCAATGCCGGAACTGGCAGCGACGGCGTATGGTTTGACCTCTTCGGCAGAGTGTTTGTCGTGTTCAAGCTACACACTCTTTTCGCTTTGTGTGTCACTTTGCTGGTTGTGGCACCTCTTACGTTGATCGGGCTCACGTTTGGGCTCTCCAAGGCTGACAAGAACTACCTGTTGGCGCGCAAAACCTACATCTATTCGTCTGACGATGACAACCCAGTACATCTATACGGCTGGCGCGGCTTCTTCCGCTTCCCCATCATCTTCGTCACCGCAAGTGCTGTTGTGGTTGCATTGGCTTATCTCATAGTCCGGTTCAATCCCTTCATTGTTTACAGCAGCCCATTCGCCGTCTGGAGGTAGGCAACTCATGCTGCTACTCTGTTCACTGCTAACAATATCAACAGCATGATGCTCTCAGCCTGGATGTTCATCGCTTGGTTCCTTGCACGAGGGGCCGATGCTATGCGACCATCTGCACTCCAGCGCATGTACGCTTTGATCTGGCTTTTCATCGGCTCCTTCGTGCTTCTCACAATCATCACGGTCTTCGTGAACGACTACCAGGTTGCTGCTGGTTATTCTGCGATGTTCTACTTCGCAGCTGTGTTCGCGGCAATACTCCTCTCCTACCTCGAACTTTTCCTCGCTCCGACCAAATCTGCGTATGCCCGTCATTTCGAGCAGGAAGACGAATCACGGCGCAACTCAGAGTCCGCAAGCAGGCCCCTTACAGGCAGCACCACCGCTGCACGGTCCGATGATCGCCCCGTGGGAGACGATGACGCCACCGAGACCACTTCACTTTTACGCGGCGATCGACGTGGATTCGCAAGATACGGCGGCAACAGGCGAGACTCCATCAGCGAGAGCGGCGAGGATCATGCTCAAGGGCCCCGGCGAATAGATCTCGGCAACGTGTATCCTGGAGAACAAGAGTGGAGCGGCAAATTACCGAGCTGGATCTGGGTCGTTCAACTGCTACTCTTAGCGCCAATCGTGATCATCCTTGTCGGACAGGTCGCTCTGCTCCTCACGTCGGCCCTATACCAGACGCCATCCGATGGTAACTCGCCTCTGTTTATTTACCTCGCCTTCGCAGCGCTTACTGTGTTGTTGCTCGCACCCACCGGCCCGTTTATTCACCGCTTCACATATCACATCCCCACCTTTTTATTCCTGATATGCGTCGCAACCGTCATCTACAACCTTGTTGCGTTCCCATTCAGCAGGGATCATCGCTTAAAGGTGTACTTCGTCCAGCGGGTCAATTGCGAGACTGGTCATAACGTCGTGTCCCTGACCGGCTTGGACGGCTATGTGCAACGCATTGTTGGCGAGTTACCCAGTGCGCAAGGCCAGCAGCTTGATTGCACGACGCCCGAGGTTGCGACGCGTAAGGAACTAAAGCAGTGCCAGTGGCAGGGTCTTGACGCTAAAGTCGTCCCAAAGACAGCGCAAGCCGCGCCATTTGACAACAACACATACATTGCCAGCTGGCTCGATTACTCGGTTCATAGAGGCAATCACTCGAACAAGGCGACGATACGCGTTGTTGGGCATAACACCCGAGCATGTCGCGTGCTGTTCGACTCGCCCATCACAGCGTTGAGCGTCGACGGCGCCGTTTCAGATCCTCGCTTCAAACCCGTCGGTGGGGACGGCGCCCGGGAAGTGCGACTGTGGCATCGCGAATTTGGGCAGCCCTGGAACGTTAGCGTGACTTGGAACGCCAAAGAACAATCGAAACTTTCTGGAAGGGTCGTGTGCATGTGGTCGGACGCCAACACAGGCGACATCCCTGCCTTCGACGAGGTGCAGCACTATCTGCCTGTGTGGGCAATTCCCTCCAAGATTAGCGATGGCTTGGTCGAGGGCTTCAAGCAGTTCGAAATCTAGGGCAGCGGGCTTTAGTTGCGGGGATCCCTGCATGTCTCCGTTACTTTTGCTGCGATATCCATCACGCAAGCAGTCGAGCACGGCGTCACAGCTCACATGCAACCCCTCACTTCAGTTGCTCATTTATGCGAGCTTCCCCTTTATCTCATCAATGCCCCAACTTGTTCACGATCCATTTGTTACTGTTCTTTTTGGAGTTTTGCGGTATCATGTTCACGGCCATTGCATCTTGTACACCCAACGTATAGCATCTTGACGTCAACTTAATGAACTCTATTATCACGACGCCCAAGGCCACCACCCTTCGCTTCACACTTCGACTCGCCTAATTCCAGCCTCTCGATTCCACGTCTCACCACGAACCGTTCGACAGCTTGGCTCGTACCAGAATGCTGAGAGCGTTTGACGGAGCCCAAGACACTTCACAACGTTATCCGCTACCTACCGACGCAGGATTTACCCCTGCTTTGACCCGAAGGTTTCTTTTAGCTACGGGAGAGACTATATCATCATCTATAGAGCCATCGACTCTGTCATCGACGTTGACGACTACTCTTGGTTCGATAGCTGCTCCAGCTGTCTGTACCGCCAGCCACCCA